GCTGAGCAGCAATTATGCAAATGAAACCTGGTAACTGACTTTGGGGTCAAAGGCCGGTTACAGCCTATCAGAACTAAAGGAGGGGTATTTAGGCCCAGTTCTCAGCCTGCTCAGTGCCCTGTCGTGGTTTCCCTTGTGGTTGTCTGAGAGCGCGTTCCTGTTTATAGTTTTCTACCTGGTTTTTGACTTTGGCTTTGTTTATTGACTTCTCTATATTCTGGTATCCTGACTCCTGGCTTTCCTCATCGCTGTGTCCCTTTCTGTGTTCCCTGACCTCGGCTAGTATTTTTGACTATTCTTTGTACGTTAAATCCGGCCATTCTAAGGACCGGTAATACGTTACTTATTTGTCATCCGTGCTGTACAGTTCTACGTGCTGGATCAAACAGTAATCCTGACATCTGTCCCTCCTCAATCTACCACCAGCCCTTGTCTGACCCCCACCCTTCCTTATACTATAGTTCTCTATGTACCCTATTGTATGTAAATGAGGCTGTTTGGGGCTTAAAAGTGTGTGCTATGTCTATTAAAGTTAGTTGTTGTTTTAACTTTCACCAAGTGTCGACTGACGTTTGGTACAGGGTGCAAAGGCCCTCAGTGATCCCAGTCAAGCCTCGCCGACTAAGTCTGAAGTGCTCCAGGGTCCCTGATAGCTACGAGGAAGCGGAATTGGCGGAGGTACTCGGTTGTAGTACTGGAGCGCTGTCACATTTGTACATAATTAAGAAATTTTAAGTTTGTTTTCTTATATAAATTGTTAAAACTAGTTCATTAAATACTTGATAGAGGAAGATAAAAATTATGAAATACATAATTTTATGATGAATGAAATGAAACGTGTTATAAACTAATAGCACTGTTAACTGTTTTCTGAAAATGATTAAAAACAAAAGTGGAGTATTAAAACAATATAAATTGCATTATTACTTTATGTTATTATTACAGTTCTGACATTTGGAAACAGAATTTGTCTTGTTTCTGGCTCATAACAATTCTTCCCATGAATTCCTTATTATTACACCACAATAGGAGAAAAAGAGGTCATAAGTACATATAGTTTGAAATCCCATAATATGAACATAAAAATAAATCAACTCATTTATGCCGCATTGCAATTTAAAGCTCAGAATTTCTTAATGTACAGAAAGAAAACTGAATAGCACATGAATCTGTGGGGAAATGCATACTATTTAACAAACAGTCTTAAACTTCTATGTAGAAACAGGAGTGGCTGTGCAAAATCAGCCTCAAAAGCAATATATAAATTAAATAAGAAGAAATATGCTTTTCAATAAATACTGTTTATTAAAAGTGTACTTTAGCATTATGGAATACAAACATTTATTCCTAACTCTATAATGTACCTATATCTAATTAGGGGTCACCCCTCCCGTATGGTTTAAAAGGCAAGTATTACTTACCTATCAGCTCTCGCCATGCTGGTCTCACCTCATTCGCTCCATCTCCCAGGCTTAGATTATCAAGATTCATGATCTCAAGACCAGCATTTGATTGAGAACAGCATTTGATTGAGAACTTAGTTCTCACAGGAAAGCGCCTCTAGTGGCTGTCAAGAAGACAACCACTATAGATGTGTTTATCCCTGCTATGGAAACATTGAAGTTTTCTACACTGCACCCAGACTACACTGCAGAAAGAGCCGGCCTGCATTTTGGATCTGGACCACTCTTTTGGGTAGAATCAGTCTGATATGCAATTGGCCCTGGTTCCTTTTGGAATGGCACAAGATGAGCTAAAACTAGCTCTGGGCCGGCCTTAGGCCTTTAGGCGCCCTGTGCAAAAAAAAATTCACAGTGCCTCTCCCTGGTCATACCTTTTTATTCATGTATAGTGTGTGTAAAGGGGTGTAATGTTTGTATATGATATTTATTAAATGTGTGTGAGAGGCGTTATGTCTGTGTGGGATATATATGCTATGTGCTGGCTGTGTGTAATATTTGTAATGGGTGTACTGGCTGTGTGTGCTATATGTATTCATATATTTCACTGGCTGTGTGTGATATTTGTGCTTGGTTTATTGGCTGTGTTTAATGGGTATTTAATTCAGATATAAATATGCATGTAGGCCCATGTGTGAATGCAGGTGTGTATTTTTGCAGATTCACATGCACATAGTACCACAGTCAGATGCACACAGTTATACACAAACACAGTCAAATACAGCCACATGCACATAGTCACAGACAGTTACATAATATACATAAAACAACAATAAATAGGCGCTCACTAAAAAAACAAGGTGGAAGGCATCAGTGAACCAGCAAGTATTCCCAACCCTTGCTAAGATACAAAAATATGGGGGTGGGGGGGGAAGGTTTGGTAAACCGCGCCAAAGAGGAAAGGTGTATAAGACAAATCAGTACATATACATACACTATAAAAGACTAACTCACACTATTTAGAGCTACTAAGAGCACTGCTGCTTAGCGTGTGGATGGTACAATTCCCTTCTTAGGATATATAGGTATTCCTTGTATTGGACATCCACTTCTCAGCAGTCATATATGTATAAAAGAGACAAAGGAAAAAGAACCAAAGGCACAGTATATTGTAGGTTATATAAAATATAAAAAAGGTAGTTATCCTACTTACAATTTCCAGAGCAATGACTTGCTTCGGTACTATGCGCTTATGGTGGTACAATCCCCACCTGGGATGTGCAGGAAACAGATGTAGTAGAAGAGCAGCAGGGTACGATAAATAATAAAAAAAAATAGTGACACGACGCGGACCTCTGTGGCATGTGGGGTAATGTAGTTCATCCTGCGGTCGCGTCACTATCACATGTCTTGGTACCTCCCTCTTCATGTCACAGTGCGTGACGTGATAACTTTATGGATCGAGATGCGGAGTGTGCTAATACCAATGCAGTAAGCACTGCGTCGGCCATTTTATTTATGGGCAAAAATGAGAGAGGGAATATATATATGCATTAATAGAAGGAAAGCAAATCTGTTTATACATTAAATATGACAATATATAATTGTTGGAGACATTCTCATCCAACATGTAAATATAATTAATAGTATGCTGTTTTGAATACATAATCTTTTATAATACATCAATACATTTAGTTCATACTCTGTCAATATTATATTAGTTTTGCATTAAAATAAGTATGATTGATTGATTTGTATTTAAAAATATACTTGTTATTGTTGAGGTAGAGACGGTTATTAAAAAGTTTGGAAAGGTTTTGGCGAAAGTCAAAGGTTATTATCAATTTAAAAAGGATTGTATTTATAAAAAAGATAAATAGTATATATAAATAAGATAATATATTAAAAGGATATTTTATAAAAAGTTAAATAAATCAAACTCTGCATTCAAGCCATTTGTGTGTTGGGTATCTAAATAGTATACCCACTCCATTTCTTTCTTGCCAAGTTTTTTGATCATATCTCCACCTCTCCACTGTTGAGTGAGTTTAGTGATGGCACTAAATATCAAGTTTTTAGGATCATTATTGTGCAATTTAAAAATTAATGAAACAAGGTGATTTTTAAAGCCTTTTTCTATGTTTCTGCAGTGCTCACTGATTCTTATCTTAACCCTTTAAGGATGGCGGGCGTTCTATGCCGTATTTTTTAGGGCGGTCCTAAACGCCGGGGGGCGGCATAGAACGTCCCCGCTGTCCTTTGTACTTACCGGGTTCACCACCGTTCCCGCTGCAGCGTTTGCGATCCTGGGGTCTGCCTGGGAGCTCAGGCAGACCCCCTCTGCCCGATCTGGCCCCCCCGGCCATGTGATCGCGGGGTCCTTGCGGACCGTTTTTTGTCGGACCTACCCTGCACATCCGCAGTCACTAAGGGGTTAAGCTTTTTTCTTTCTTTCTTTTTTTTTGTTCGTTGGGAAGACCACCACAGACAAGATTAGTCTAAACGAAACCAATATTTTATGACAACTTCAAAATAGTCAGGGTTATTTAAGTGACTGTTAGAAAAGATATAAAAAGTTATAAAAAGATATAAAAACACAGTTATTCACTATACCACTATACTAGGAATTATATTATTATAATTTATAAAGGGCCAACAAGTTCCATAGCACTGTACAATGGGTGGACTAACAGACACGTATTTGTAACCAGACAAGTTGGACGCACCAAGAAAAGTCCAAATGACAAAATTCAGGTTAACAAAGGTTTATACGAAGCAATTTTCCAAACTCAACCATAGCCACACCTTCATTCTGCAATCTGGAATTTGACTCAATACTATTACTGCTTCAGTGAATAACCTCCAGGTGCAAATTTTAAACTTTAGGCCAAAAAATAGCCACAAATGAACACACAGCTGGCTTGTTTTTGTTTTGAAGGAAACTATTATGCCAGAAAAACAAAATAGTGCCCCCCTCCGTCGCACCTTCCTCTGTGGTGCCGTAGGGGCTCGATGGCCGCGCTCGGATTAGAACTTCCCCCGTAGGAAAGTGTTGTAAAATGCTTTACTGTGAGGTTTTGGGTGAGGATGTCCAGCGTCAGTTAGGCAACCAAAAGTCACCTAACGACCAAGAAGAGGTGGCGTTACCTTTCAACGTAATTATTGCAGATTAATAAAAACCTTTGCAGGGTTAATGGACCTGGCACACTGCACCCAGACCACTTCAATGAGCTGAAGTAGCCTGGGTGCCTTTAGTGTCCCTTTAAATAAATAAAGAAACATTTACATATACAATATAACTCTCTATATGTATATTTCTGTATTATTTTGACATAACTATAGGACTTTATTAATGATATATTGAGGGACCTATCCAGCTTGAACTTTTTTTTTTTCCAATATGGTTATTTTAGGGCCTGACATTCAGTGAATCACCCTGCTCACTGTGTGAGTCTGAGTACAGAGACTACACTCCTCTCTCTACACACAGCCCCAGCTCCTCCCTATCATCAGTTCTAACACAGAACCAGGAAAAAAAAAAAAGCCTGAGGAAGGGTGGAGGTGCTGCTGAGTTAGTTTGTCCCAGCCGCTTCCCGTAGCCGCGATGACGTCACCGAGGTCATGTGATTGGGCCAGACCGGAGCCATCGGGGCAGCCAGGAACCTGGCAGAGAGCAGGGAGGAGGCGGCGGAGTGAAAGGAGAAGAGGCGGCCGGGCGGAGACCGCTCCCTGATATGATTGTGACTGCTCGCTGGCCGTGAGTGCCCTCCGCTATAACCTGTCCCCATAGCAGCGCTGTGAGCCGGGCTCCGGGGAGGGAGGAGGCCGAGGAGACCTGGCTGCGTGTTATGTTTTTATTTACATGGCGCCAACACAGTGCGCAGAGCCCGGCCGGCGAAACCCTCCGAGTAATGGGAGATATCCTGACTGGCTCTCACTGAGGGAGGCCGCTCTCATTACCCCCTATTACCGCCCATAGGTTCTCATTAACCCCCATTACCGCCCATAGGCTCTCATTAACCCACATTACCGCCCATAGGCTCTCATTATCCCCCCATTACCGCCCATAAACTCCCATTACCGCCCATAGGCTCTCATTAACCCACATTACCGCCCATAGGCTCTCATTGCCGCCCATAGGCTCTCATTGCCGCCCATAGGCTCTCATTATCCCCCCATTACCGCCCATAGACTCCCATTACCGCCCATAGGCTCTCATTATCCCCCATTACCGCCCATAGGCTCTCATTGCCGCCCATAGGCTCTCATTGCCGCCCATAGGCTCTCATTATCCCCCCATTACCGCCCATAGACTCCCATTACCGCCCATAGGCTCTCATTATCCCCCATTACCGCCCATAGGCTCTCATTAACCCCCGTTACCGCCCATAGGCTCTCATTAACCCCCATTACCGCCCATAGGCTCTCATTAACCCACATTACCGCCCGTAGGCTCTCATTACCGCCCGTAGGCTCTCATTACCGCCCGTAGGCTCTCATTACCGCCCGTAGGCTCTCATTACCGCCCGTAGGCTCTCATTACCGCCCGTAGGCTCTCATTATCCCCCATTACCGCCCATAGACTCCCATTACCGCCCATGGGCTCCCATTACCGCCCATGGGCTCTCATTACCGCCCATGGGCTCTCATTATCCCCCATTACCGCCCATGGGCTCTCATTATCCCCCATTACCGCCCATGGGCTCTCATTATCCCCCATTACCGCCCATGGGCTCTCATTATCCCCCATTACCGCCCATGGGCTCTCATTATCCCCCATTACCGCCCATGGGCTCTCATTATCCCCCATTACCGCCCATGGGCTCTCATTACCCCCCATTACCGCCCATGGGCTCTCATTATCCCCCATTACCGCCCATGGGCTCTCATTATCCCCCATTACCGCCCATGGGCTCTCATTATCCCCCATTACCGCCCATGGGCTCTCATTATCCCCCATTACCGCCCATGGGCTCTCCCATTACCGCCCATGGGCTCTCCCATTACCGCCCATGGGCTCTTCATTGGTTGGGGTTAGCTAGGAGATGGCCCTGGGGTGCACAGAGATTCCCAGTGAGATGCCAATAGAGCTCCCACCCCAAAATAGCATGGCAGCCACAGACCCATAGAATCAGGGAGATCAGATGGTTTAATTCACTAAACCTGGGAAGTATGGGAAATTGGAAATTATAGGCCAGAACAGCCAGTTAAACAAAATTAAAATATCCAGCTAAGCAATATTGTATTTAGAGTAGGAGTAGTTACCAGGGTTCAAGAAGAAAAGGCCGTATGCCCTAATCTTAACATAAGATTAGATCAACAGACTTAAGTCTGGAAGAAATACTGTGTGTGTACATACAATGGCTCTGAACCTCCCCCCCTCTCCCGGATCCAAATAATATACATGGCATTAGCTGACACATTCCTCAAATGTAAAATGATCTCAGTGACCAATTTGTCAAGTACAATAAATATCAAAGTGCATTCTACAAAAACCTTTATTAGACTCTTGCAGTTGCTCTCTGGGAGCATATGAATATGAAATGCCTATTGCCACCATTGGGGATAAACTGAAAAGGCATGGATGACCCAATTTTGAATGAAAGGGTTATTGCAATCATTATGACCACTTTGATGAATTGAATAATCTAATGTCTGGATGCATATTGAGTTTAACCCCTTGACTTCTTTAGGTGTAATTAATTACACCACCACCAGCAGCATCATGGGGCATCAGCAGCCTGCCCACAACAAGAGTTCTGTTTGGCTAATGTCAATTATGTGTAATTTGGTTGAGAGTTGTCTGAAGACACTGCAAAGCTGTAAGCAAGTCACACACCATGAAGCCTGGCTGGGTCCCACGTAAGAGGGCAAACCTCTACTGAATGGTTTTCACCATTATGGGAAAGCAGACTGGCATATTCCTGGCATCACAACCACTACAATGGTCTGTAGTGGTTATGATGCTTGGAGTACGCTTTTAATACATAGTTTAAAGATAAGTTACCCCATGTCCACCATTAGCATTTTGCTGCATGGACAACGGTCCATCCCTCTGCATGTGACTTGGAGTTTGTCTTTAAGCACTCCAAAGCCCCCCTTACAGATTACAAAGGATTCAGATGTAGATTTGTTTATAAACTCTATCATAATCTGTACATTTGCCAAGTGTTATGCATTTGCATTATGTAGATTAAACTAAAAATCAAATGAGCTCTGCTTGACAGCGTCACTTTAACCAAAAAATGAAGCAAATTATAGTAATACAATAAGAATGCAGAAATATTGGGTGTTGTATGTCAAAATACTTACGTTGTTACTATGTTAGTAGAGATTTGCTAGAAAACTCATGCAATAAAGCCCTTTGGACTTGTTTCCAGTAATTTGCAGGTGAAATATTGGAAATATCACATTTGTGTAAATGTTGGCAGGGATGACAATACCGTGTTAATTTTTATGGCATGGTATATATTATTTTTCTTTTAGAAAATTACTTTTTAGGCCTTGTTACTTGTTTTTTACATCAAGTTTGGTATTTAGTGACAGCATTCCTTCATGTCAGATTGTTGATTTTTTTTTTTTTTTTCCTCAACCTGAGAGCCAGCTGGTTCTAGAAAGCAGTGTGCACACGTTAAGGTATATTTTGCTCCACATGCTGCTGTATTCAGCGGAGTTATTTTAAAACGAGCAAGGCATATCCTAATAGGATTTGATAAATCCATTGGGGCATTCTAAAGAAGGTACAGTAGTTGGTCCCCCTTATAGCCTTATTTTCTCTATATTGTAAATATGTTTAATAGTTTTCGAACACTTTTAAACCAAAGACTTCATATTCTTCCCTAAGCATTTTGCCAACTCAATAGAATTTGGTGTGTTACAAAACAGTTGTCATGGTTATCCTGAGTGGGATGTTAGTGGATACATACATTGTCTTATATCAGTTGTGTATATAGTAAAAATCTGCTGGTGTCTGTATGTCATATTTATTGATCCAGTTTCATAATGTTGACCTACACTCTGAAGGCTGTAGCCCCAAATGGTGTGTGGTTTAAAGGAATTGTTTGTGAAAAATGGCTTAACTGTTTTGTGTGTGTGTGTGTGTATGTGTGTATATATATATATATATATATATATATATATATATATCTATCTCTCTATCTATCTCTCATTAAAAAAAAAAAGTTACTTCCCTTGAAAGTGATCCTTGGTGAACTACTTTGAGATTTTCGCACAGACTCACAATCTGATCCACAGGATTTGATCTTACCCATACACTTTTCAGTAGAGGTTTATAGGAAAAATAGGTTATTTCCCAGCAGTATTTCCAATCATCACAAAACATAAGTGGGATTACATAAGCAAACAATATCGGTCATACTGTGGCTGCTATCTGTTTACATCTAGTCCAGTTAACTGTTTAGTTGACGGCTGTATATTGTCATCTGCAGATCTCGTCTAGGCCACGCATGCTCAGTCCTCTTTCTTGTTGTGTGGTGTGCTCACGCTGCATGTACCATATTAACAAAATTTATAGGAAATGTGGAACAAAGTGATCTTGGGTGCCTTAGTGATCTTGGGTGCCTTAGTGACCATATTGGTAGGCTGTCTTATAGCAACAATAAAAAAAAAATAGTAAAATATGGTTTAGTCTTAAAGGGATATTATAGGCACACAGACCACTTCAGCTCATTAAAGGACCACTATAGGCACCCAGACCACTTCAGCTTAATGAAGTGGTCTGGGTGCCAGGTCCAGCTAGGGTTAACCCATTTTTTCATAAACATAGCAGTTTCAGAGAAACTGCTATGTTTATGAATGGGTTAAGCCTTCCCCCTAATCCTCTAGTGGCTGTCTCATTGAGGCGCTTGGATTAGGACCCCTGTGGCCATGTGATCGCTCAACAGGTGTCCATGTGTCTTCCTGCAGGGGGACTGTCTGTGCTGACAGGCAGTCTCCCTGCTAGGGTAAAAAAAAATAAAAAAATAAAATAATAATAAAGGTTAATGTTTAGTTAAAAAAAATTGTGTGTATGTATGTGTATATATTTAATACAATGCTAAACAGAAATCTGCACACCAGTCAAGCCATAAGACCTGCTTTTCCGTGTGTGCAGATTTCTGTTTAGCATTGTATTAACTATCCACATACTTCAGGTGGAAGGGGTTTTCAATCACAATTTTTCCCCACCATAATATATATATATATATATATATATATATATATATATATATATAATCTATCTATCATACTAATACACTTATAATTAAATTACACACGTGTGTATATAATATATATATATTGTGTATATATATATTATAAAATACAAATAAGTAATTTAAATTAAATTAAAAAAATGTAAAAATAATAATTTTTAAAAAAATTGAAATTTTATTCTAACTGTATTTTGATATTAATATATATTTATATAAAAATACACTTAGAATGAAATTGTATGTGTGTGTGTGTATATATATATATATATATATATATATATATATATATATGTGTGTGTGTATATAAATAAATAAAAATAATACGAAATATACATGTCCATATACAAAATTACATAAATAATTATATAAATATACACGTAGACTTCAAATATATAACTATGCTTATATATTTCAATTCTACGTGCGTATTTATGTAATATTTTTACATAATTAAGTCATTTTATTGATTGCAATTTGAGGGACCTGCCTGCCAACCCGGGCCGGAAGTCCAGAGAATTTAATTTGCTAGCACTGTATTTTACCTTGTAACATTCTATGACACCCTAAAACCTGTACATGGGGGGTACTGTTTTTTCGGAAGACTTCGCTGAACACAAATATTAGTGATTCATAACTGGAAAACGTATCACAGCGATGATATTGTCAGTGAAAGTTACTTTTTTTGCATTTTTCAAACAGCACTTTTACTGATGATATAATTGTTGTGATACGTTTTCCAGTTTTGAAACACTAATATTTGTGTTCAGCAAAGTCTCCTGAGTATAACAGTACCTCCCATGTACAGGTTTTATAGCATTTTGAAAGTTACAGGGTCAAATATATGGGTCAAATATTTTTACATTGAAAATGGCCAGGTTGGTTACGTTGCCTTTGAGAGCGTATGGTAGCCCAGGAATGAGAATTACCCCCATGATGGCATACCATTTGCAAAAGAAGACAACCCAAGATATTGCAAATCGGGTAAGTCCAGTCTTTTTTAGTAACCACTTGGTTACAAACACTGGCCAAAATTAGAGTTCAATTTAGTTTTTTACTTTTTTTCACACACACACAAACAAATATGAATGCTAACTTTGGCCAGTGTTTGCGACTAAGTGGCTACTAAAAAAGTCTGGACATACCCCATATTGAATACCCTGGGTTGTCTATTTTAAAAAAAAATATGTATATGTGGGGTGTTATTCAGAGATTTATAGACCGATAAGTGTTACAATGTCACTATTGATAAATTTTAAAAATGTATGTTTTGAAACCGCAATATCCTACTTGTACTTATAGCCCCATAACATGCAAAAAAAGCATGTAAACACTGGGTATTTTTAAACTCAGGACAAAATTTTGAATCTATTTAGCAGTTTTTTTTCATTCGCTTTTGTAGAGGAGTAAAAGATTTTTCAAGTAAAAGTCTAAAAACATGTATTTTTTTTTCAATTTTTCATATTTTTTTTTTTTTTTTTTAAATTTCAATTAAATTACATGAATATATATAAATAATGCCATGTAAAGAAAGCCCCTTTTGTCCTGAAAAAAACAATATATAATTTGTATGGGAACAGTAAATGAGAGAGCGGAAAATTACAGCTAAACACAAACACCACAAAAGTGTAAAACAATGCCTGGTCGCAAATGTACAACATCGCAAAAACAGTCCGGTCCTTAAGGGGTTAAAAAAATATTTGATCAGGTCAGTGTTCCTTTAAACTTTGTAATGCCAATTAACAAGGAATCTTTATTACAAATATATGTAGGGACACTATAGGCACTATATACCCTGCAATCTAAACATTGCCGTTTCAGGGAAAAGGCAATGTTTACATTGCAGGGTGGAGACTTCCTCTAGTGCAGGCATAGGCAACCTTCGGCAATCCAGGTTTTTTGGACTTCACCTCACATGATGCTTTGCCAGCATTATGGAAGATGTAGTCAACAACTTCTGGAGTGCCATAGGTTGCCTACTGGTTGTCATACTGGATTGTCCTCTTACAGTACAGTTGCTTGTCAAACTACTAAAATGACTTGACATCTTACAGGTTTTACATAAAAAAAAAAAAAAAAGTGCTCATTCAAAGAAAAGTAGGAGGGAGGAGTCTGGTAACTACAGGCCAGTAAGCCTTACTTCAGTAGTGGGAAAAGTAATGGAAACCATGTTAAAAGATAGGGTTGTTTAACATCTAAAATTACATGAATTTCAAGACTAGAGACATGATTTTAGTTCAGGAAGGTCATGCCAAACTAATCTTATTCATATTTTCGATTGGGCAACAAAAATAATATATCGGTGTGGTGCAGTAAACTTACCAAGATTTCAATAAGGCTTTTGACACTCTCATATAGAAGGCTTATGAATATACTGCAAGCTTTGAGTTTGGATTCCAATGTTGTTGAATGGGTTAGGCAATGGCTGGGTGACCGGCAACGGAGGGTTGTAGTCCATGGAGTATATTCAAAGCATGGTCTTGTTACCAGTGGGGTACCACAGGGATCTGTTATTTTCAATATTTGTTAGTGAGATTGTATATGGTCTTGATGGTATATGGAGGGGGAATAGAAACAATTAAATACAGGGAATCAACACAGTAAAGGAGGAAGGAGAGTATAGTTAAAAGAAGAAAAATTACCACAACAAGCTGCCATAGTGTTAAATTAGAGGGGTAAAGGTTTAAAAATATCAGGAAGTATTACTTTATTGAGAGGGTAGTGGATGCATGGAATAGCCTTCCAGCAGAAGTGGTAAAGGTTAACAGTGAGGGAGTTTAAGCATGCATGGGATAGGCATAAGGCTATCCTGGACATGTGATAAGACCAGGGACTAATGAAAGTATGTAGAAAATTGTTTCTATGATTTTTTTGTTTTGTTGTTGCAGAATTTAGATTCTTATTCTATTTCATGATAAAAGCAATTTGTAAAATCAGTGTTTGCATGCATAGCATCAACATAATTGGTTTGTATTGAAATCAATGCAATCACTCATGTGAGTACGGCATAGACCAAATTCTTTCTATAGGAGAGCATTGTAGTTTAGTCTGTACATGTGTGCAGGTGATTGCACAGGTATGCTTAAAGGACCACTATAGGCACCCAGATCACTTCAGCTTAATGAAGTGGTCTGGGTGTCAGGTCCAGCTAGGGTTAACCCTTTTTTTTTTTTTTTATAAACATAGCAGTTTCAGAGAAATTATGTTTATAAATGGGTTAATCCAGCCTCCAGTGGCTCTCTTGACAGCCGCTAGAGGCACTTGCGTGCTTCTCACTGTGAAAATCACAATGAGAAGACGCCGGCGTCCATAGGAAAGCATTCAGCCGAAGAGGAGGAGAAGAGGGAGAGGAGGAGGAGGAGGAGGAGTAGAGCTCCCCGCCCGGCGCTGGAAAAAGAGGTAAGTTTAACCTCTTCCTCCCCCCAGAGCCCGGCGGGAGGGGGTCCCTGAGGGTGGGGGCATGTAATGAAAGTTGGCGGTTTTTGTTTTTGCTTTTTGCCAAAACAAAATCTGACATTTGCTAAATATTTGTTTGAAGGTCTGTGAAGCACGGCATACATTACGATGACAAACAATGGCTGGTGAAATATATTCTTTAAGCAAACTTTTTTCCATATTTAAAATGAAGTGTTGACTCATGTAATACAGTAATGTTCCATAATGGATATTTTGTGTGCTGCTGATAAAGGCTCTGTTAAGCTGTCTTTTGTTATAATCTTAGCCTGAAGGAAACATGGGTATCCATTTTAAAGCCTCCTGTATTGCCAGTCTGTAAAGTAAGTTCTGTTTTGTTTTTTTGGAAAGCTCAAGACTGGCACCCAATTTCTGGCTTTGACTGATGCACCCAACAAACCAGGCAATGCTTCCAAATAGTGTTGACTTGTTTTCACCACCATTTTGTTTTGAAAATCATATTTGTGATTATTTGTAAAATGCAACACTTCATTTTGTAAACAACAAAACATGCAGGAGGAAGTAAAGCACAAAAAGTGTTTATTTTTTAATTTTTTTGTTTTCTTTTTATTTCATAAGCTGGAAACCTCCATGTACTTACAGTCATGAAGTTCCCTGGTACTCTTTTCAGATTTCATTAAAAAAATAATAATCTGTTTTTATTTTCTGCGGCATTGAGAAAACACATTCCTTGTTTGCTCACACGTGCACTGGTGCCGTCGTCAAATTCCTCCCTTCTGGTTAATGTAGTGGTGGTGAGTTCAAACAGCCTGTAAGTAACACAAGCTAAACTACAGTATGTAACCCTAACAGGGTAAATATAGCTCTAGCTAGGCAATTTGACAAACTTCCTTGGACTCAGTAATCTAAAAGAGCCAGATAAAATTTCAAACGTTCAAGTTTATGTTTTTTCTTGCATTGTTACTATTTAATTGGTCGAGCTACACCAGTTGTTGTGTTCTGCGTATGCAGAATCCAGTGCTTTTCAGTCTTGGATAAGATGGATACTTTTAATTTACATGTTCAAAGTGAAACCAAGCTCCAATCAACTCATCCCAGGACAACGAATTTGTCTCATGGTAAAAGATTGGACTGAGTAGTTCTTCATTTGGAAGCGTTGGAATGGTGAATTGCAGAGATGTCACATGAGCTCTGTGTTTGCAGTGCACATCTATGAGAAATAATGGATTGGGCCAGAGATTATTAAATTGTAACCCAATCCATTACTTTAAAATTTCAAATCTCCTAATTGATATTACCTGTAAAGGTAAAACAATTTGGAATCTTTTATTTTTTTTTATTCCGTGTTTTTTTTTTTTTTTTTTTTTTGGACAAACAGGCTCAGTTTTTTATACAAGTTTAGAGTGTCTTTTTTTTTTTTTTAATAATTACTAAATGCTAACTATTAACTATTTTGGCCACATCTGCGGAGTACCACAGTGGTTTCCTGAATTTTTTGCTTTTACTGACAAGCCTAATGCAATATTCTGTTGCCTTCAGCAGTGCAACTTTTAAATAATCCCATTTATCTTGCACTCCTTTTAAATTGCTTCAGTCTGATAATGACTCCTATACACATATTCTAATTTTAGAAAAGTCTGTTTTTCTAAAGTCTAAAACTTTTTGTTTTTGTGTGGTGTGACTCAGTAGACACGCTATGAATTATGTTTTGGTGTGTGTGTTATATTTGACCCCTTAATTTCATGCTGTTTTATAGATCCTTTGTAATAGTTTCTATAGTAAATCTGAGAAATGGGACATAGCCATATTGCCTGTCTGTAAACATCCCTGCTCTTAGTGTTCACAAATAATTTTGGTTCATATATATGTGTATACACATATACATAACAAAAAAAGTACATGTTTAATTCGAAAATGTTTTACCAGGAAAAATACTTTTTTTTTTTTTTCTTCAAAAGACAGCACTCTAAGCAACATAACATTTATTTCTCTATTGGTTATACTGCCTAGGGTTTCCAGGAACCAGTGGTTTCATTCTATATTGTTTAAGAATGGTTTAATTAAAAAAAAAAAATAAATAATAAATTTACTCTTTCCAGAGCCAAAGGATTGATCAGCAGAATATGTATATCAACGGAGCATGTTGGTCCTATATAAATGCTCATAACAATAATGTGTGAACATTTTAATCTTTTTTTTTTATAAATTCTGTTGGTGTTTGTAAATGACAAAATTAATAATAGATTTGAAGCTGTTGTAATCTTAGTTTTCATTACCTCCAAAGAAAACTACACATGTTTTCTTGTGGGATTTAAAATTATTACATTTATAAAGTTCCATCATAGTTTGCAGCGCTGTCCATGGGTACAGTGGTACAAGTGGAAAAAAAACAAGTACAATATAACTTAGAGCCAATGCAAAATTTGACTGTCTAATACAAGAGTAGTTGAGGGCCCTATTTCCATGGGAATTTATAATATAGATTGTTTTGTGGGGGAGGGGGGCTGTATCTACTAAACTATATAATTATTTTTTTATTGCTGTGACATGGAATGGAGTGAGAAGTTGAAGTACTTTAGAGGTCTGGATTGTTCCTTTAGCCTTTAAAAATTATATGCGATATGATTACATTGCCAGAAAATTGGCATTTAAATTTTTTACTACAACCATTTGCTATATCCTTTTAGAAAATTATGAGCATTAGCAATTGTTGCACTATCTACTTCCTTATCACATGGTTGACTAACCATTGACTAATATATGCATATGTTGTGTTTGGTGTGCAAATTGATTGCTTTTACTAGGATTGACATGCCATCTTTTGCAGGCATGTTATCTATAGCTACGTTTGCTGATGCTGTCATGTCGTAAAGGTTATATAATTGTTTTTGCACATTTTTTTTTTCACCTCTATCCGTACAGCACAAAGTACAATGTTCACAGTCTTTACTGAAAAGGAACTGGAGTTAAAAAATAAATAAAAATGAGAGATCTATCTCAATTTATCATATATTATACATACACTATTTATTTATATGTTCCAGCTGATGATTTAGCTATTGACCAAAGAAATTCAATGTGATTTTTAGTATTTATTTTTTTTATTTTTTTCACAAGTCTACAGAAAATAACTTTAACTACCTTTAATGCAGCAATACCCAGAAGGAAGTGAACAGTGTAAAAGAAAAATATTCCACAAGCAGACACCTAATATCACATTTCGTGTTGAAGCATGGAAATATTTCCATTTAATTGGTTGCAATAAACCTCTTTCTGTTCAGCCCCTCCAGACCGGTAGACCCCTTGTCTGCCAACTAAAAATTTTAATTTACACTTTGTAAATTTGTGGTCTATGTAAAAAGTGTCCTGCATGTACCTCTAAGCACCATAAACTGTCCCAGGGTTAGACGATCGTACTCCTGACCCCATAACCCCTACAGTGGTGGCAGTGAGACCCCTCTGTCATCAGCATGCGACTCTCAAAGCAGGGACATCTCATGTTGGTGTATGGGGATTGTTTAGATGCCATAAACTTCTGTACAGTAAAGAATTATTGGGTATGTAGTTTATCCCCTGCCTGCAATTCCAGTCATCACCTTGGATGATTACAACAACATTATAAACTGATACCAGACATATCTTGGTTACTATCAGTTTATAGATAGCCCAGATCACGATTTGGTCAACCAGGGTGCATTTTTGCATCAGTTGAAGTCTGGACTGTGCATGCACAGTCTGCATGTCGGGTCTTTTCAGGGAGAGCATGGTTTGGCACACACAACATGGACATAATTGATATAAGGCACATTCTCTGATACTTTTCTGGGTGACCGACAGCCTTGGTAGACTGTCTTATAGAGATTTTTACAAAACCTGGGTCCAGAGAGAGCCCATGACCCAGCTTTCGATGTTCTTATTGTTATGGAAACACACAACCTGTGAATGCCATCCAAATACAGATTGAATGGATATTGAAACTGTAGTAGAATAATTTCCCAATTAGCCTTATGGATAGTCTGGGGACCCTCAGTTTGTATTGAACTTGAAAACAGTGAGTTATAGTGCTCGATGGCATTAGTGTGCTCTTTTAACTTTTTGGGGGGGTTTTTGGTGACAAAGCCGCTAATTAAATAAATTGTATGGTGACCCTTTCTACAATTGTAAAATTAGCTTAGTGACCCAATCTTCATGTGCAAGATAATTAAAATCAGTGATATACAGGGTTATTCACTAAAGTGAGAGTTTAACCCATTAAGGACCAAACTTCTGGAATAAAAGGGAATCATGACACGTCACACGTCCTTAAGGGGTTAAAGTTAATTTGAATTTAAGGCCAAAGTAGCCCCCCAAAAAACTCTTGGGGAACTGTAACATTGGTAGCATGTTGCATGGACTATATTTTTATTATTTTTTATTTTTTTTATTATTTTCCCATGGAACCCTTTGACATAAAGCGCTAACAATGTGAAACCCCCCAAAATTTTGGCGCCATAGCGCAGATGCTAAACAGTATTACTTAGGAGCAGATGTGCTTCTGTGTGTACAGTTGGTGTTTGTATATAATGTTAGCGTTTTGATACAGGGGTGTGTTTGTATGTAATATTTGCATTTGCTTGCAGGGGTGTGCTTGGATGTAGTGTTGGCTTTTAAATGTGGATGTAGATTTGTGTGTAGTATTAGTGTTTGAGTGATGGGTGTGTGTTGAGTGTTTGTATATAAATTTGAATCCAGGGGTTTTTGTATGTAATGAGTGTGTTTGCGTGTTGTGTTCGTGTTTGCTGGGATGTATGCACATATGATTGCTGTACATATGCCACATACGTACACAAACAAATTAACACACGCACACACATTCATATACACACAGACACGATACAGACCTTGATACACACTAGCACATACACACACCAATACACATATTAATAGGTTTTAGGATTTGTTTGATGATATGGGACAGGTTTGGTGGTATGTCACATACGAAGCTTGACAGAATTTGCAACAGGACTATAAAAAGTATACTGTCAAATGAAAGTTCAAATTCTAGTTTAATAACATATGGAGATATATATATTTATATTTTATTATTTTTTTCTCCAGAAAAAGCCAGCACTCCTGAGCATTTGTTATAAAACCCATCCTTTTATTAGTATTCAAAGTATTACATTTAAAAAATCCTATGTTGTCCTGTGGAAAGTTCTTAAATAGAACTGAAATGTTGACTCCTTTGATTTTGTTTTGTATAAACATATATATGAGGCATCATAATTTCTTAAAGAGGAACTGTCATAATTTTGCATAACCTAACTTTTTTTTTTCGTATTGACATTTTTTTTTCCAACAAGGAGAGTCCATAATCTAACTAAAAAAAGGAACAAATCTACTATAAATACATTTATTTTTAATGTTCAAATGTTCCTTTAACCTTCCTGTGGGGACTGTACTGTTAATGTGTTCTTGAGCTTCTGGAACAACTAATATGTAAATTCTTATTGCAAACAAAAAAAGTAAAAAATCATAGTTGGTGGCAAGCAAAGCTGTGGTTAATGCATTTATATATAATGCTGTATATTTCCTTTTTATGCATTATTTTTAGCCCTGGGAAATAATTTCATGTAAATGCTTAAGCACCATTTGCAAAAATAGTTATGAAGTGATATTTTACATTGTTTAAAGGGAAGCAGGGGTTGGGTTAGGAATTATTCAAGGAGCAAGCAAAACCTCAAATATTGTATGTAGTGTTCTAACTTTCAATCTCAAGGTTATGTCACCCTTCACAACTTAAGGTGTGTCCCAGTTTTTCAGCTTGACTGAAAAACGTCTTTCAAGAATTACTCTGGAAAATTAAACCGTGTAACTAAAGGTCAGGATTTACTAAAACTCTGATGTATGCATCTATATCTGCTGTACAAAACATTATATGTGCAGAAACACAAACCCCACAATGTAATGGAACACAAGTATACTTAAAAGAACACAGAAACACAAAAAAAGTAAAATTATTTATTTTGTTGTTGATGTTCCTCATATTTGGTCTCCCCATTTTGTTTCGGTTCAGTACCTGTCATACAGAAGCACTGTGGACCTACGCTGTGCAGCAAACACGCCACTTATGTTTTGTATAGAAAAGCAGGGCTTGACAAATTTCTTTTGCATCTAGGAGCCAGCTAAAAAGTTAGGAGCTAGTTTTAAAAAAAAAAAAGGAACTCTAATCACCAGAACCACTACAGCTTAATGAAGTGATTCTGGTGTCTATAGCATGTTCCTATAGGCTTTTTATAGAAAAGACAGTATTTACATTGCTGCCTAGTAACACTTCTAATGGCAGTAACTCAGTAACAAAAGTGCAATTCTTAAAGGGATCCTATACTCACCAGAACCACTTTAGCATAATGTAGTTGTTCTGGTGTCTATATCCTGTCCCTGTAGGATTTTAAATATAAGTACGGCCTTTTCAGAGAAAAAGCTAAATTTACATTGCTGTCTAGTGACAGTCACTCAGACGCCCACTGTAGGTGATTCCTAGTCCAGTGCTGCATCAACTACATTGTGTCTCCATGCTCTGCAGAGAAGCACTGAATGTTCCCCCATAGAGATGCATTAATTCAATGCATCTTTATGAGGAGATGCTGATTGGCGCAGCATGTTATTTTGCAGTCCACGTGCAATGTTATACCAATGCTTTCCTATGGGAAAGCATTGGCATAGCTGAGATCATAAGCCACGGTGAGACCGGCACAGTATGGGGGGAAAAAAGTGAGTAAAAACACCTATCCCATGTAATCGGAGGGGGACTGGTTACCTAAACAGACGCATGCACGCATATTATCTCATACAATCACAAATTATAGTATTTTTCATTTGAGTCCACCCAGCCTCACTGCTCCTACGCCGCCTCAAATACTACCCTGGGCGGCTGCCTCCAATGCTCTCTAGGCTGGCTGCCTCTGCTGAAGGGCTGACATACACATACACTATGGCGATTAGAAACTTTATCCTGGCGCCTGGAATATGTTGAGCCCTGTAGAAAAGCATTAAACCCAATGCTTTTTTATGAGAAGCATTCTCACAGGATTATTTACTAAAGTTTGAATTCAAGATGAATTTCAGATTTAAGGCCAGGATAGCTGGAAGCAAAGATGACTTAGAGATTTTTTTTTTTCCCCAGATTGGCTATTTTGATCTTAAATTTGAAATTCAAGTCTTAATGGCGGTCAGTGTGATAGTGACATGTTTATGCCCACATATCAACCTTTCATTGTTCAAGGACAATAAAATGAGTAACATTAAGCTGGATAATAGCCTCTAAATCCAAGGGCATACTTAAAAACTGGTGAAACCTAAACATACTTTTCCTAATTACATTTATTAATGTCTTCCTTCAAAGAGTTTGTGCATATTCTGCCTGCATGTCTTCATTGTATATGGTCAACAGTTTTAATTATGCTTACAATTATACCTTTCATTTTTGATCTGTAGATTACCAAAAGGATAGAAGAGACCTGTTCCACACATTTTAATTACTGGTCCAGTTTTCTGCACAAGCAAAAGACTCTGTCACAAAAACTTAAGCATGGCTAGCCGAGGAGGAGCCACCAGACCCAATGGACCAAATGCTGGGAATAAAATCTGTCAGTTCAAGCTTGTCCTTCTAGGAGAGTCGGCTGTGGGAAAGTCCAGTCTAGTACTACGCTTCGTAAAGGGACAGTTTCATGAATTCCAAGAGAGCACAATCGGAGGTTAGACAAGTCTTTTTGTTTTGTGCTGCTGGTTAACTTCCTATTGTTATATTGCATGGAAGCCATGATGTCTAATTTATGTTGTATCTCCGGGTATTGTAAAGATGTAAAGACTTTATGCCGGGTTACACATTCTACTGCTCATTTAGAAATGGTGACTTTTTACAGCAATGGGATACCTACTAAATTCATAACGGTAATGCTTTCTTTAATGCAGCATATATAAAAAGCATTAGTGGGTTACTTCAAGCACCATGACCACTTCAGTGATTTGAAGTGCTCATGTTGCTTGGAGTCTGTACGTGCAATGCAGTAAGAAACGCTGCACATACCCCAATATGTAAGCTACCTGCTGGAGGTGCAACTCCGCCTACGGCTGCATTTTTAGTTCGTCATTCTTTGCATATTCCTTGCACAGAGGGTCATTCATTAGGTAAGCATGCTCAACTGATGCTCTCAGCCAATTAATGACCAGCGGGATCAGCAAAATGGTTTACCCCATTAATGGGAAATGGCACCAGGGTACCCATGGTATCATAACCACTGCAGGGATTATCATGCTTTGATAATCCTTTAGAATAAAGTTTTGAGCAGGATCTTAGCTGTTCCTAGAAATGCACTTTACTGGACATAGATCCACGTGGAATCTGCTGATGCCACTCTCCCAACTTTCTCTTATCACAACTTTGACTACTACTGCTTATGTTAAATTTCCATTGTCCAGCTGAACTACAACAACTAAAAATCTTGTCAAGTTATGACCTTTAAAACGCTTGATTGGCACGTTAAATATTTTCAATGAGGCTTTTGTTTTCTTTGGGAGAGGAGGAAAATTAACTTATCACAAAGTGTTTTTTTTTGTTTGTTTTTTTTCTCTTGTATACTAACCTACCTTCTTTCTTTTATAAACAAATGGAAACAATGAATGTGACAGAAATCAAAATAGAATTTAGACATTTATAGGGTTGTCAAAAAGATTACCTTTTGGTCCTGCTCTATCTCTATAAGGATTATAACCAGTAACAGATGGAAAATGATAGATTGTCAATATTCTGCACAGCTCTGGATTGTAAAGCACCTGCATTTAATCTTTGCAATGTTTCACCAGGTGTCAGTCCTGCAGAATAAAATAATTTTTACTTATAGGCATTCTGTATAACACTTATCATAGAAATGATTCTGGGAAAGGGGGTGATGCTGTTTTTCTCTGGTGTTTTCTTGCTTTGTTCACTGTAAAGTGTTCTTAAACCTATAACCAGGTATTTTAATGGTAAACTACAGTATCCATAAAACTAGCATTCATGTTCCTATATGAAGTTGGTAGAGCTCCTTCCATTTGACCAATTTTAAACATTTTCCTCGATGTTGATTTATATTGGTAAAATTGGAGGCTGGTTGGTAAACCTTTCTTATCTCTAAAATGTAGCAAAATTATGCCCCCACTTCGTTATATATATGATGTGAGCATTCATAAAGGTAATATATGTGAATTCAAATAGCAAAACCATGTATACTCCATCCACTCTGGTCGGTGCTAAAGCTTTTGAATTGATAATCAGTGCACAAGAATTGCTGAATGGTGGGGCGTTTTTTCAGTGTTGTGTGTTAAGCATGTTTATTAATAATCTCAGTGTCTAAGTAAAACAATTGTCCACAATTGCTGAAACACTTAATTTATTAAACAAATTAATTTCTAGTGTAGCTCGTTCCTTGTCCACTGTGGTAACCATGCTGTATGAGGTGTGGCAGACCAACCACTCAAACAAATAGCAAAATAAGCAAATGACAGCAATTGGAATGTGAAGAAAAATAACATAATCTCTCTCACTTCCTCCCAGCTCTTCTTGCACATTAGAAGGGGCTCAGAAATGCCCAGTTGTGCACTGCAGCGCTTTAACAGCACGACTGGGCATTTCCATTGGGTGGCCCTGGACCTTCACCGCTACCATTTCTGGTTTAATTTTTTTAATATTAATTTATAATCTATAATATGTATATGTAAAAGAACAGATAAAATTTGTATCTTGTAATGCCTATTTTTTTATTTTTTTGTACTAACAGAATTTTTTAATGACAGGCTTTCGGGAGAACCTCTTTAAAAAATTCTGTTAGTCCAATAAAAAAGGTATTACAAGATACAAATTTTATCTGTTTTTTTTACCTCTACATCGCTGGACTAATACGGCTACAATCTATACATGCATACATATAATTATTTATATATATTTTTCCCCCGCGTAGCCCACGATGGCACTGAATTGTACTCCTGGTTGGGAACCCCTGCTTTACGGGCTGGTAATCAAACCTAGAGTGTAAATGAAGATGAGTTGAGCTTCATGGACTAAATTTAATTCTGAAAGGCATGTAAAAGTGTAAAAAAATAAAAATAAAAAAAATGTTCATGTCAATAATCTAGAATTTTGTCTACATTTGATTTGAATTTTTTTTTTGATTTTTTTTTTTTTTTCTGCACAGTACCTTAATTTATTTATTGCAAAATGGCCACAATAGATATGAGGTAAGGGTACTGCAGCACCAAAAATTTAAAAAAAAAAACTATTCCTTTTGTGCTGTTGGCACCCCCTCTGAAGCTCCAAGCAGGGTAACTACTAATAAAAGTAAAAAAGAAACAATGAGGGCAGCACTATCCATTGCAAATGTTCACACCAAGTGCTACATACAGATTTATTGAAGGACACAAAGTACAGACATTTCAGCTTCTCCCCTTTCTCAATGCAAGTCCTTTCTTTCTTTATTGTAAAGAGATGGGACCTCCTGTTCATATTACATTACCTATGGGGTTATTTTTTATTTTATTTTTCTACAAGAACATTAAAAACATTCAAATGACGAATACCACTTGGACTTAAATCAAACTTGAGAATTTTCTATTCACACTTTTCAGCACATTTTCTTCAGTTTGTTCAATAACTTTTTAAATGGAATCCTACCAAATCCAAAATCAAAGCCTATTGCATCCAGTTTAATAGGTAGATCCCTACTTTTACTCCTCTCTTTACAGAACTATATCTTTATGTATTTACAAGGTGTGTAGACTTTGCATAATTCAATGCAATGGTTTACTATACTTTGGTATTACTGAACAGTATTGTTCAAAATGTTCTCCTTTGATACCTATTCAAATTATTTCTCCACCAAATAATCCTCAGTTGCTGTTTTGATGTAGTTTTGCTTTTGTCAAAGTGAATATACTAAGTCAACATAGTCCCTTTTTAGCATATCTTTTGACTGCTTTTGAAGTTCACTGAAATTCCAACACAGTCAATGTGAGTATTTCATAAAGAGTTTATCTTTATGAAATACTAATTTTGGGGGGGAAACGGGAAGTGTAGCTGTTGCTTTAAACATTTACATCATATCAACTATTCACTGCTGTAAACTATACCAGAAAAATTGCATTGCAGTATAACTGTCTGTTACTGGGCATTGTAGCCCAAGTAGTCATGTGTATAAACACTCTGATCCTGGATCACTTATTTACATTAACTTTATTCATTTGCTTTACCTTCAATCCTGTGCTAGCCAGAACACACTGTTATTGAAAAGATTGGTGGTAGTAATTCATGTCACATATTTTTGTTCTGCTTGACAAGGCTGTCTGATGAAATTGCCACTAATTATCTTTAGATTCAAATCTTTTCCAGTAATGTTTGCTACCTTCTTTAATTTAAATATTGCATGAGCTCTTCCTCCTTATTTTAAAGGAATTAAGACCTTGCCTTTTTATGCAAGACAAATTAATAATGCATGTTTCATGTTTGCTTTTTTCCCCCCAAGCCAGCTCTGAAATCAAATTTGTAAGATGATTTCTAATGTCAAATATAGATATATTGCACCCAGTAAGTGCAAACCGCTTAATGATTCTTTTTGGCAAAAGGGCACTGCAAGCAGGGCCAGATTAAGAGCCCAGTGGGCCTGGTGCTGACAATTATGATGGGCCTAATTACAAAATCTTATTGACCAAAAACACTAAAACAGTCCTACCTCCTAAGCGTCCTATATCTGATGGAAATGGTGCTGGAGGGAAACTCATAGGATGCAGTTATGAGAACACATACCCTATGCTAATCTCATGCTTTCATCTTTAAAGTAATCTCATACCCCCTAACAGCAGTGTCCAGTAAAGCAGGAAGTCTATGGATGGGGTAAAAGGGTGGGCCACTGACACAAATCACATAACCAGAACTGTCGAAAGGGGCGAACACACACAAGGGGCATGTCTGTGTCCCTATGTCTCCCAGTCCCATATTGTCTGTGTCCCAATGTCTCCCAGTGTTCCCATGTCACTAGGACACAGGGGGACACTGTGCGACATTGGGACACTGTGAGACTGAGACATGAGGGGGCACTGGGAGATATGGAGCACTGAGACACTGTGATGCATAGGGGACACTGATATATAGGGGATACTGGATACTTGGTTTTGACCTGGGTACAGGTCAAAACGTTGCGGTGTCCAATAAACCTGCTTAAATCTATCACAGTGAGTGCCTGAGATTTTCTCTTTTATACTAGGGGGCACTGAGACACTTGGGGCACTGTGAGACATGGGGACACTGAGACACTAAGGGACACTGAGACACATGGGGCACTGATACACTCCGATATATAAGGGACACTGTGATACATAGGGGACACTGGAGACTTGATAAAGACCTCGGTACATGTTGAAACATTGTGGTGTCAAACTTGCTTAAATCTATCACAGTGAGTGCCTGAGATTTTTTCTTTTTATAGTAGGGGACACTGAGACACATTGGGACAAAGAGACTAGGGGACTTTAGGAGACTAGGAAACACTCAGACACTATGGACACTGAGACACCAGGGACACTGGGAGACATGGGAATACTGAGACACTAGGGACACTGGCTGGGAGACATGGGGACACTGGGAGGGTCCCAGGTCTCAAAGTTGCCCAGTGTCCCCATATCTCCCTGTGTCTCCAAGTCTCTGTGTCCCCTAGTGTCTGTGTCCCCATGTCACCCAGTGTCCCAATGTCTCAGCGTCCCCAAGTCTCTCACCGTCCCCATGTGAGTAGTGAGAGGCAGGGAGGTAGATGCTGTAACTCCTTATCCCTTCCTCTCTCCACACAAACAGCGACCCCTACTGGCCAGCGCTGGTATTGCAGAATAATCTGTTTATACTCAGACAGACATTTGTATTGCCGGTATTACTGCAATACCGGCACTGGCTAGGGAGCCTAAAATACTTGAGAAATACTTCTGAGAAATAACTAGCAACGATAAGAAATACATGGCAACAATAAGAGTAGTGTGTAAAAACTTTTTTTTAAAAAAATTTAAAAAAAATTTTTTTTTTTTTTTTTAAATCAATGGGCCTGGGCCTGGATCTGCAGCTCCATCAGCCCCTATGTTAATCCGGTCCTGACTGCAAGGACCATAACTAGCCCCAGAAATTGTGAAGCTGTGCTTGGATTGATGCGTGGCCTTAGTGATTTGACTCCACTAAATTTTATGAGTGCAAAATGCACACCATTACAGTGATGTATGGTCTCCACAGATGTGTAATGATCATTCTTATGTCAGATTTTTGTAATCCTTCTGTTCCAATTCAGATTGGAGCACATAGTATCACATCCTGGCTGTGCTACTGCTCAGCACAACCTAAAGTCTAACCCTACCGCAAACCCTTAGGATAGGGTTTAGGAGCAATGTTTAATGGCATGGTCAGGATAAGATAACACGGAGTATCTCGCTAACATAAAGACCTGAGTTATTCTCTAACCTCAACCGTAAGGCCTTCTCGATCATAACCCTTTTTTAGCATTTGAATGTAGTACAGTTTGAAACTGGCAATGGGCTTTTCCAAAAATATAGGACCGTAGCGAACAAATAAAAATGTAGGAATCTATAGTTATGGTAAGTTGATGTTTTCAAGAGATATAGATGGTAAGAGATGTCAAAATGTATCTCCAAATGAATAATACTCATAGTAATGTGTCATTCAACTACAATAAATGTTTTACAAATCAGTCTGTGTAAGATACATTGTTCTTGTTGCATAAAATATTAGTAAATCAGCCAACATTTCTCAGAACAGCCCTGGCCATGTCCCACTAACACTGCTAAATTTAAAGTTGTCCATTTGAAAGTGTGATACTGCACTACTGAAAAAGCATTTACTGTAATGAACGTACCGTCCCTTCTCTGGAAGTAACTGTTTTTCTACAAATCTAAACCGTTATCCATTAACTTTCAGAAAGCCCCTTCACTGATTTCAATAACTACTAGGGATCGACTTTTTATCGGTCTGGCTGATTTTATCGGCTGATATTCAGCTTTATGTCAAATATTGGTATCGGCCTATAATGATACAGATATTGCTGATAATGTGCTGGGCAGAGGCCCAGCGCACACTATCTTCGGCTCCTCTTTCCAACTTATGAGCCCAAGGCCATCAAAGTTTTGCCTCGGGTACCACGGCAACGCTTCATGCAGCATACCCGACTTGTGAGAATTGGAGGGAGAACCTGCCTTAAAGTTGGGTCCTGGCCGCTCCCTCTACAAACTGAAACCCCCTGGCAGCCTGCACAAAATCACAGGACCACCAGGAAGTGTAATGCCCCTCTCCCTGGTCACAGATAAAAAGCAGGGAGGGGAGAAGAATATCGGTACCGGTTATCACCTGAAAGGTCACATTCTATTGCTTTTGATTATCGCCCTAATAAATCAATATTGGTTGATCCCTATTGCTAGAGAAAACTAGTATTTTGATTATTGAATGTTAAGTTTTTTGTTTGTTTATGAAACCAATATGTAAAGATATTTAAACTTGGTGCAATCTCTTTATTTTACAGCTGCTTTTCTAACCCAGACCGTTTGCCTTGATGATACAACAGTTAAATTTGAAATCTGGGATACAGCTGGTCAAGAAAGATACCACAGTTTAGCTCCAATGTACTATCGGGGAGCCCAAGCTGCAATAGTTGTATATGACATTACAAATGAGGTGAGTGGTTTTAACTAGAGGGTGGAATTTGAATAATAGGGTGGTGTTTGACTAATAGAAACTAAATGAAAATGTTCTTGTTTTTAAGATAAAGCATTTTTGGTTAATGCTATGTCAACATGGTTTGGGTTTTGTTTTTGCTATAATTTTAATAATTGCAATAAAAAATAATTGGGTGGAACTAAAAATCTAAATTTTTATAATATAGTGCATTTTTTTGTTGTTAGGAAGTGCTAATATCACAATGTTAAATGGTTCAGTGACCATAGTAGCACATTTTAATATAAGTTTCAAGAAGACCCTGGTACAAAAAGTTCAGTGTTTCATAAATTCCAGTTGCTGCTCTTAATCCAAAAAGGCAAAAAAAAGTGATAGTATTTTTTCTTGTTGACTCTACAATGGTAATTTCGCTGTGTTTGTTCCCATTTTTACATTAGATTCAGGATCCCTACTATAAAAAGTTAGTGTTTATTGCTTCTTCTAGAGAACTCTGCCACTCTGGTGTTGTGCATGATGACACAGAATGTAAACCTTTTCGAAAAAGGAGGAGGAAGTGCCTCTAGTGCAGGGGTTCTCAACCCAGTCCTCAAGAACCCCCTACCAGTCCAGCATTTAGGGATTACCTGGGTGTGTCTAAGGTGTTTAGAAAAAAGAAAAAAAAAAAAACCTTAGACACACACAGGTAATCCCTAAATCCTGGACTGGTAGGGGGTCCTTGAGGACTGGGTTGAGAACCCCTGCTCTAGTGGCTTTCAGGCATGTTCGTTGACAAATATAAATGTTGTTGTTGTTGTTTCTTAAAAACGGCAATGTTTAACATTATCTGAGTAAAGAGACCGTATCCTTGAACCAAAACCAGCCATTACGTTAAAAGTACACTATAGTCACCAAAATAACTTAAGCTTAATTAAGCAGTTTTGTTGTATGAATACATGCCCCTTCAGTCTCCCTGCTCAGTTCTCTGCCCTTTTAGAGTTAAATCACTCCCCTGGCTGTGACTCCCACAGCCTGCATGAAAAAATTGTTTCATTTCAATCAGATGTTACTTACTTTAGACGTTTTTTTTTTTATTTTTTTTAATAATCTCCTGCTCTGAAAATTGAACTTTCATCACACATAGGAGGCTCCTGTATGGTCTAGCAAGCGATTAACAGAGCAGGGGATAAGACATTATAAATTAAACATAATCTGCAATAAAGAAAGTGTAAGCATTCGATTTAGGAAAGTGATTTAACTCTTAAATGGCAGAGAATAGAGCGGCGCGACTGCAGGTGCAGGATTTATACATCAAAACTGCTTCACTGAGCTAAAGTTGTTTTGGTGACTATAGTGTCCCTTTAACCCCTTAAGGACACGTGACATGTCATGATTCCCTTTTATTCCAGAAGTTTGGTCCTTAAGGGGTTAAGATAGTGTTTTTGACAGTGTATTTCTAATGAGTCTGTTAAGTATGTATGCAGTTTCATGTTTCAGGACTAACCATAATATATGAAGTCACAATAGCATATGTTTCTACCTAATATATGCTGCTTCAAACCAGTTCACGTTTACCTGCTGAACCAGTTTATTTGTAAAACAGATTACACAATGGATTGTTTCTTGTGTTTTATTACCAAAAGGACAATACCATCAAATTAATCCTTGATTATGTTCCATTATTGAATTTAACTACATACTTGTGAAAAGCAAAATTAAAAAATTTAAGGAAATTAGATGTTTGGCTAGTTGATGATTTTTTTTTTTTTTTTGTATTCATTCATTGGAATTGAAAATGCAATGATCACCCAATCGCAACTTAAGTTACTGTAAAATATCATAACTACTCACACAAGTTAACAGAAACTGCTCAGCTCTGTCTAGTGTTATGGGCAAGTAGCTTCATTCATGTGATTTGCGAATGGGACTATTTGTGTTATAAGATGGCCGCACATATACTTAAAGGACAACTGCAACCGCAAAAATTATTTTATTTAATTTTTAAATATAATCCTTTCATCAAGTAGTGAAAGGAATTTTATTTTTATTTTTTTAAAGACAATCCTATAGCATTATACATGCACCTTTGGTCAGACAGTATTTTGAAAAAAAATGTATATGGTGTTCTATGTTTTACTCCCTGCACAGAAGCAAGAACACCATAGATTTTTTTTTAGAGACTGTCAGACCAAATGGACATGTATATGACTGAAGAATCCTGTCCTATAACAAAGGTAGGAATGGGTTTTTCCTCATTTTATTTGCCTATAATTCATATATAAAAATGTCCTTTCTATATTTGATGAAAGTACTATTATATTTAAATTAAAAAGTATTTTTGAGGGGGATCGTTGTCCTTTAAATCTCTGCAAGGAATCAAAGACACACAGGTTTTAGAGGAAGTGTTAATTGTTTGCTAAATAGACATCTGCACCTAAAAGCAGTTGCTGACTAACACATGTGAACTTTGACTATAGATCAGCAATTTTTAGGAAAATTTCTTATTCTGAACATTTAACTATAATGCCAGAAATACAAAAAATAAAATCCACAAATATAGTTGCATGTATTTGTGAAGGACCGCCTGGAAACCCGACCAAGTACCTTAGCCAATCGCTGCTTCCTAGTACTTGCAAGCACCATGAGCACTGCACTGGAACACCACAAAATGCCGAGCTTGGTTGGGGTCTCGCTGTCCTCCACCCACCCTGGACCCAAGACCAGAATCCAGCTTCCAGTGGGTAGACCTCTCCTAGTCCAGAGAGCGAAGCAGGCTGCTCTTATTAGAGCAAGTGTTGTGATCCAAGGGAGTATAGTGATTATAGCAATCCCCAAAGTGTGAATATAGCTCTCCAATCCCCCAAACATGAGCCTAGACTTCATGAAGGGTAAAACGAATCTTGTTTAATGGTAGCCACAACTGGCCTTTTATGACCGTCCTCATGCAAGACACACTCCCCCTGGACCTGAGTAAACCACAGTAGAAATAAATACACAGTTACATTGGCTCTCAGGTCCAGGACACTCCCGTACAAAATAGGTCAATCCCTCCCCTATTCCTGGTAGATAATTGAGTCAAGCATTATGCTAAACTCAATTCTCCAAACACCCCAAAAGTACCTTAAAACACACAAAATCCCCACAAAAGTTAAATACCTTGATAGCCCCGATCTAGATGAACATACCCAAAAATCACCCAAATTGGTTCAGGAATATCCTGGAAGTCATAATTTTGACCAAAACAGTTCCATAGAATCGTGGCTAAGTGCTGCTGGGGGACAGACTGGGAACCGCGAAGTTTTCATGCCGAAAATAGTTCCAGGGCATTCGCTGCTAAGTCCCCCTGAAGTCTCTTTGCGGTTTTGGTCCATGCGTACGGCTGCCAGTGAGCTAGCGTTCGGTTCTGTGAAAAGTGCCGAACCAGGGGGAATAAAATATGGGTCTTTAGAGTCGCTGACCTGGCCCATAGTCTTTTGGCAGGAGGCTGGCAAGTAAGCCCCTCCAAGAACTCGTGATGAGGCTCAGTTCGTCACAGTATTGAAAAAGGAATATTATTTCAACACGTGGTATTGCCATTTATTTTGAGAGAACTTATTTTATGTATATTCTTCTTTGATGCAGATTAGTACATTCTATACTTAACATTCAGTAAAAGCTGTAATGATATGAAACTGAAAAAATACATTTTACATATAGATGCTTTTTGGATAAAACTGACTACAATTAGTTTATTTTGTCTTTGATCATGTATTCAACCTTGTAGTACCCACACTATTGTGTGTGTGTGTGTGTGTGTATATATGTGTGTATGTATGTATGTATGTATATATATGTATATATGTGTATATATATATATATATATATATATATACTGTGATGTTAAAAACCTCAAACTCATTGAAACAAAATAATAATGTTTTTACAAAGGAAATGTAATGTTCTTTCCCGTTCTAAAATATGTATTAGATATATATATTTAGTCTTGAAGATATTAAACTGCTACCAATGTGATTTAATCACAGGAATCATTTGCAAGAGCAAAGAACTGGGTGAAAGAGCTTCAGAGACAAGCAAGTCCAAACATTGTCATAGCTTTATCGGGTAACAAGGCAGATCTGGCTTCCAAGCGTGCTGTGGATTTTCAAGTAAGTTATTTAGTTGTTTTGTTTCCCTTTTAAAACAAGAAAGAAATATAAATTATGCTCTTTAACTTGTATTTTAAGACCACACACATTCTTTGTATTTTAGTTCATGATCTATTGCCTATTATTAGGAAGTTCATTGTTTTACCAAGCTTTGCAAGGTAAAGGTCACTAAAACAGTTGAGTACATCTAATGTCAAATATCCTATTAAGGAAATTTAATTTTCTAAAATGGCAACATGAGAATACAACTTTAAACAGATTATAAGCACCATAAGCAATCCGATTTAGTGTACTGGCAACATTATTGTTATGGCTGAATTTAGCCATTACTGCTCTACCTACAAGAATTGTTAAATTAAAAATCGATGTAAATTTAATGTTTATTGATACTATAGATCAGGGGTTCACAATTATTTATTCCCATGGAACCCTTTTGACATAATGTATCAACATCATGAACTCCCCTCCTGGTACAAAAGACGGTGCAGTTTATTTAAAAAAATAAATAAAATTGTGTGCGTGTGTGTATATGTATCTAACACACACACACACACAAACTCACAGATACACCTTCACACACACTGTGTGTATATATGTGCCAGTGTGTGTATCTGACACACAACCACACTGGCACATATAGTGGCAAACAGATACACACAGTGACATACACACACTCATGCACCCACAGATACACACACACTGGCACATACATACTCAGATACACTCACACACAGGCACATACAAACACGCTGATATACACTGGCATATACATACACACATACTGACAGATACACACAGTGACACATACACAAACTTTGACACACAGATGCACACACTAAGGTACACATACTCTTTGACAAGTACACTCTCACTGACTAACACATAAACACTTTGACAATTTTTCACATTGTGCTCAATTTTATTTTAAATGTACATTAAAGATTTAGCAGTGAATATTGCAATCGAAGGCACATATTGAATTTAAAGGAACACATGTATTACAGATAACAAACATGGATTTCTGACATTATAGTGCCTGTTTAGGTCCCCGGTCCCCATTATACAGGAAGCACCTCTAGTTGCCGTCTGAGTGACTTCCACTAGAGGTGTTACTAGGCAGCAATGTAAACACTGCCTTTTAACTTGCCCTCTGAAAAGGCAGCCTTTACATTGAAAAGCCTGCAGGGATCTCCTTTAAAAGCCAAAACTACTACATTTAGCTGTAGTGGTTCTTGTGACTATAGTGTCCCTTTAAAGGGGTGGGGGGAGCATTGCCTTTTGTTTCTCCTTCTCGCTTTGCTAACGGGGACAAAGTAACATTTATAAAAAAGACTGACCGTCGGCAACTATCAATTCCAAAAAAAAGATTAGAACAGTGGTGGGAATTTAAAGGCACATTTAATCGAATAACCTCTTCTAGAGTCGTATAATAAAAGATGTGGTAGATAATATTTTACTGGTTTCCTAAATATGAATCGAAGTTTAATTACAAATAAACAATGTAGGTTTTTATAAAAGAAAATGTTATGGATTGCATAAGTTATACTGTATACTAAATAAGATTTGTCTACGCACTTCTTTTGTGAAAAGAATATAAATATTACTCAGCGTGTCATAAGTAAACATATTGCAACTTTACAGGAAGCCCAGGCTTATGCTGATGATAACAGTTTGTTGTTCATGGAGACGTCTGCTAAGACATCTGTGAATGTGAATGAAATATTCATGGCAATAGGTACGTCTAAATATGAATAGAGATCTGTGTTAACTACTCGAGCTATATATACACTCACAATGTAACAATGGGCTATGTAGTTATGGAAAGTAATGCTTTTGAATAGGCTCTGTAAATATGTGCTTAAACATGATATTGAGGATGATCCACCAAGAAGAAAAATTTCTGGAAGTTTTTTTTTTTTTATATATATATATTTGTAACTATTTTAAAGGGACACCCCTAAAGCATTACAGCTTGCTGAAATGCTTTATATGTGAAGATTGTGTCCTAATTTCCCACTTTGTAAAAATTGGTACTTTTACAAATTAACTTTAATTCAACTGTATATCAGGCAACCGATCCAGTTACTTCCTAGTTTGGTTAGCTCAGTGGAGCTAAACTCCAGAGGCTGGCAATTGCTCAGAGCATCTGGCTTGCAAAGACTTTTCATTGAGTTGCATTGAGAAGCCTGTGATTGGAAAGTCTGGGCAAAGTTAGAAGGGAAGGAATTGCAAAATCTGCAACAAAAGAACTTTTGCAAGCCATTTCAGATATACCCTTAATGAAAAAGTGCATGATTAAATGCACGCATGTTTTCATTTGGTGCATATCTACTTTGCAATGCAAAATGCTTATGGTATTTAATCTAGCCATTTAAATTAACTCTCTAAACATCTAAAGTGCTTTAGCTTGCTTAAGTGCTTTAAGTATGAAGTGTCATTTTTTTCATTTTGCAATAAGTGCAGATTTCAATAGACATTAGCACTTTAATAAATTAACACTGTTACGCCTCCTGGCTGTCAATCAAGCAACCAGTCATGTTAGTTCTTGGGTTTTATAGTTCAGTGAAGCAAAACTCAAGAGGCCGGAAGTTGCCCAAAGCACCTGCCTTTCAAAGACTTATCATTGAGCTGCAATGGGAAGGCTATGATTGGACAGTCACAAGAGAGCTATGTGTTTTGGACAGGTTTCTTTAATACTAGTTCTGTACACACAGACACAAACACAACTGTGAGGCAGACAATATTAGATCTGCAACTACTGCAAGCCCCACTCAGCTTCCTCGGCATACATTTTCCCCCTTGGGCTTAAGAATGCCGTATTGATAAGCCTTGCCAACCAGCTTCTCATGTGCATGGCTATCCAGTCGCAGACTTCACTGAGCTGTATTACAGCTCATTGAATGCTCTGGGCAAGCTTCACCACTTTGGTTTTGTACCAGGGAGCTAAGCTAACAAGGAACACCTCCCAGCTGGATAAAAGGAAACCTATGTAAACGGAAATATAAAAGTGCCAATTTCTATTCAAAGAAAAGGAGGCACACTCTTCAAAAGCTTAAGTGCCTTATGGGTTTGAAGTGTTTGAAATATCTTGGCAAAGAAACTAGTTTCCCCTGATTTCCAACTCCCTCCTTTGCTTCACAATATTTTTTGTGTTTGCATGCTATGCTTTAGTTTTTGCTTATGCAATCTCATTTCATGAAGTGACAATAAACTCACTTGCATTTTTGTGACCGCATTGGCACTTCATAAATTGGGATTTATTGAGGTTAAGCCGTTTAATACCAGCTGCATTAACTCTTACATGTGGATAATCTTACAGAATTAAGCATATATTTAAGTTTTTGTTGTCTGATTTTATTCTTGTTTATTTAAAGCTAAAAAATTGCCCAAGACGGAACCACACACTGGAGGAGGGAACACCACCAGAGGAAGAGGAGTAGATCTTACTGAAGCTGCACAACCTAGCAAAAGTCAATGCTGTAGTAAATAACTAAGCCCTTATGTACTTTACACTGTATTGATATTCTTTTGCTTCCTAATTGTTCATAACAATTGAGTGTTTAACCTTTTCTTGGCCTTAGAGCCAGCCCTTCAGCGCAATGCGTTGCAAGTCCCCCTGGCAGTAAATATTTTTTTCTTGGCCCAGTGAAATATAAAGTAAAAAAACAAAAAAGAGTTGCTATGTGGTATAATTTCTAATACTGAATTATTTTACTGCCGAATCTGGTTTTTAACATGCATGCATTACTTTCTGAAAGAAGTTCAGTTGTCGTAGTGTGAAAGAATATACTGATCAATTAAAACCAAATCCTTAAACTGGTAAAAAATAAATAATAATAATTTTTAGCAATATTTAGCGTAGCTGAATATGTGACCTCATGAAGTCTCTATTTTTAACCAGTCAACCATCAAGGGGTGAACATCTCATAGAACAGTAATATTTTTTTACCCCTTAAATTTTTCTTCCAGTAGCAAACCCAGTCAAACCATGGCATTTTGGGAAACGGTAAATATTGATCCTAAGTGGAATACTTTTAAATGGTTTTGTTCTAAATCACTATTAATAATGCTATTTGAAGCAGGGTATGAAAACTTCTTCTTTGCAGTATTTGTTCAAAATATCCCTTTATACAGCACAACCCAAACATACATTCCACTTTATTTATAAGTTTTCAGCCTTTAATCGTTTGGTTCCTTTCTTTAAAAAAAAGTAAAATATGATCTCCTTGTAGATTTTTCTTCTTTCTCATTGAATTCCTTATTTCTTTCTAACATTTGAAAAAAAACATATAAAAATCATGTTTAAATCCCATGAAAGATTTTCAAGGTAATTCATTGGAGATGTAATTTTCTTTCATTGGTACACAGCACTCTTTAGTTTCTGTTTTATAATTCTGCTCTTCTGGGTGGTGTTGTTTTTTTTCTCATCATTGCTAAATAAAATTCTAATATATCCAATGTTTTAACAATCATGTACTCCATTTAGTTATCATAAAAATCAGATAGTAAATTGTATTGTAAATAGGGTACTGAATTGTAGTCTTCACTTATGTTTAATATGTTCTGTTACTTGTAAGATTTTGGTTAAAAATGTACAGTTACTAAAAAATTATGAAATAAAAAGCTAACGTTTTTTCCTCTTTCCCGATTTGCTCTTACACTGCTAACTGCATCTCATTTAACACTGTAACATTTTATTTCCTGTATGTATTAAAGGTGAACATTTGAGCATTGGGTTTAAATGTGTGTAAAAACTGTATAATCCTTTTGAGAACTGAAAGAAAATTTTAGCAGGCATTAAACTAATCATAAAGCTTTGATTCAATATCAAGTTTCTTGCTCATGGAATATTTTTAAGTAATAATAAAATTCTTTTACGAGTTTGCTGTGGGTGATGCTTATTTACTGAACTCCTGTGATTGAAAACCCAAAGATCAAATGTTATTAATTATCAAGCACTATTGGTTTTCATGAGGGGATAACTGAAGCCGCCTTAGTGGGTTTTTATTTTTGTTTATTTTTCCCCCTTGTTTTGTACTTTGTTTTCCGTGGTTCCTTATATTGTACCTATATCCCATATACACTAGAAAACATGTTTCATGTATATACCACACATATTAGAAGTACTAAATGTCTAGGAGTCTGTGCATTTTATGCTAAACACTGCTGTTCCCCATCTCGTAAAAGTAGCAATCTTAAATTGCAGAAGTGTGTATTTCTTCAATTTTAAACTAGTGGCTTAATAGGCTGTGTACAGTACTGCGTACAGTGTTGTCTCCAATACTGTTTTGGGGAGAAGTATGGTGTCACCTCCCCAAAGCAAGATAAGCACAACTTTAAATCTGTACAATTTTAAATGTTGTCCATTAAAAATTCTTTAAATGTATATTGAAACACCTTGTAAATGTGCAATATTTATGCATTTACAAAGAAATTGTCTTGGTACTGAGCCAGGATTTTATTTTTTACATTTCAGTTAAAGCTTGAATAAAATGCTATAAAATGCTTATATGTTTAGCTTTTTATTTTTGAGCATGATAGTATTCCAGCGAAACTAATTGCCTGGTAGCACTCCTTTTACTTCACACATGTTATCACATCCAGGTAAGAGTATAAGAGAAACTGTAATGTTTTGCTGTGATCCTGCAAGGATTGCAGTCTTTACTAACTCTTTACACGCATGTTCTGCAGCATTGCTATACGTTGTTTTTAAATCTGGGTTATCGTGGCATAAATAGTCAGAAAATAATTCTTGGGATGTGGGTGATATCAATGCGTCCGTTTCTCCAACAGCATCTTCATAAATTTCAGGTGCTACTAGATTTGGGACATGAATATGTTTGCTGTTGTCTACCTTTAAAGCATTGTTTTCTACATTTTGACTATTGAGATCTTCAGGTATATTATTATTAGTACACTGTATAAAAGATCTAAATGTCTCCAAAACTACTGCAACAGCTTCACTTTCTCTCAATACATCCCACAAACCACTAGATGCAAGAAGAATGAATTGGCATGAATCATATATAGGGATAGAGATGGTGTAAGGTGCAGGGATTATGGATTTCTTCAGTTTGGAGTCTCCATGGAAACCTAGCCCTCTTGTAAATTTGCAGAATCCTTCAACAAGCCCATGATCTTCATTAGAACTGATAGATCCTCCAGCCTCTATCACTCTGTTCCTTTCTTGTGAACTAGATGTGCTGTGTTCTTGTGTAAGGCAGTAGCTTTTCCCGCTTCTGCACAAAACTGCTTTAATATTACCTGTAAAGTAATTAAACCACATTTTTCGTGATGCAATCTGTGTACTAATCTCAACCTCTCTTTGCTATAATTCTCAAGAGAATTTCATGAAAATTTATCAAAGTTTTGTAGGTTATTCTGTTGTAAACAAAAAAGTATGCTGTCTTTCTGAGATTACACTTGAAATCTGACTTACATTGTGTTTTTTAACGTTAAAAATTTGAAGTCTGTGTTGCATTGGTATACAATTTATAGCAGAGAATGTATTTGTTTTTAATTGTGATAGAATTTTAATGAGGAATGTGAATTAAATGGCAGATCCCCAGATGTTGTAAAACTTCAATTGCCGCGATGTTTTGCCAGTTTTTACATTTTCCTTAGCCCTAAATTTAATGGATACTTTAAGCATGCAAAAACATAATATGTATTAATAGCCCCCACCTGCTGCTTGTGGAATATGGATAGGATGTTGTTATGCTTTACTGCTCAGTGAGAGGGGGTGTGTATATGTGTATGTACCCCCTCTCCATGTGCGGAGGATTATGTGTGTATGTGTGTATATGTGTGTGTGTGTGTGTGTGTGTGTGTGTGTATATATATATATATATATATATATGTATGTATGCATATTTTCACACACACACACACCACCCCCTGCTGCCGGTCGTGTGTGTGTGTGTATATTAAAAAAATAAATAAATAAATATATATATATATATATATATATATATATATATATATATATATATATATATATATTAATTATATAAATTTTACATACACACGCGACCAGCAGCAGGGGGTGGTGTGTGTCTCTGTCTCTCTCACACCCCTGTACTGCAGGTCTGCCCACCCGAATGGAGAAGTTCATTATTATCCATTAGGTGCACTGTGGGGGGAGGGGGGCGGGGAGACTTCACAGCGCTCCCTCTCTCTCCCTATCACACAACTTCATCATATAATCAGTGCTGTAGTAATTAAGCCCTTATGTACTTTATACTGAATTGATATTCTTTTGTTTCCTAATTGTTCATAATAATTGAGTGTTTATCCTTTTCTTGGCCTTAGAGCCAGCGCAATGCGTTGCAAGTCCCCCTGGCAGTAAATATTGTCCTACTCACTGGTCACAGATCTTGGCAGTAGGGTGGACAGCCATGGGTTGTGACTTGGTGGGGAGCTGTGCCAGGCCTACTTGGTATTTTACAGGCTCCATACCCATGTGGCCTTTCAATACAACTAGGCAGCAGTAGCTGCTCAGCTGCTAGATTTTAATGTTTGAGCAGACATTGGATGCTCATTCTTTACTAGATATGCCTCCACCTGCAGCATTGCTGAGGTATTATGCCTCCTTTTTATGAATATGTAGATCATATTGACCCACCTAGGAGCTGCCAGTGATCAAATATTTAGAATTTTTAAACTCTGAATTATGAAACCAATGAAATTACTCAACTGGCCAATTTGTATTTGTGATACGTCCAATGGTTTTTTCAAAGTTAAGGATTTTGTATGATTTGTCTATTGCCCAAATTCACAAACCAAGTATTTTTCAAATAAGACATTTCTTCTTTATATAGTTTTTAAACAATGTGATGCCTTTTTTTTTTTTTTGGGATGCAAGTTTTATCATTCACACTGGTATATCCACTGTCCTCAAGCTACCTAGAATTAGGTGTTCATTTTACAGGTACCTGTGTGTAACTATTTCTCTAAAAATGGGCAAATGAGACCATTGTGTAAAAAGATTTATCAGACGGCAGGCTTATTCTAGGTCTTTCTCCAACCCAAATGTTCTGTGTTGTGAAGGGTAATAACAGGCATGTAAGAATCCAGTGATACAGGCAATAACTTTGCTTAAAGCCATGTATAGCAACGTACGAGCGCAGGTGAAAATCTCGGGCACCCTGCTTACTTCATTCAGCTTTTACAACGGCACAAGACAGGGGTGCCCATTGTCCCTTCTCTTATTTGTGCTATCCCTGGAACAGTTACTCCAGGTTCTGAGGATACACCCAGACATACAAGGAGTCCGAGCAGGAGGGAGAGAGTATTTAGTATCAGCATATGCAGATGATGTGCTCCTGACGCTCACCGACCCCGTCAACTCAATGCGGGCCTTGCAGGGGATTCTTACGGACTATGGAGCTATCTCTGGTTATAAAGTAAATATGACCAGCCCTGCCAGTATGCGTGCTGGAGGGAGATATAGCCATAATTAACAACAAATACCACATACACCTAGACAGGGGATTAAATATTTGGGCATTAAATTGACAGCAGACCCAGACAAACTTTTACAACAAAACTACACACTGCTCATAAAACAACTGATTAAGGAAATGGAAACTTGGAATGACCGACCTATCACATGGATAGGGAGGATCCATGCGGTCAAGATGAACATCTTACCCAGAATTCTATTCTACTTCCAAATGCTGCCTATACACCTCTCTAAGGCTTTTGTAGCACCTCTGCAACAGGTGATAGGAAACTTCGTGTGGCAAAATAAATGCCATAGACTTTCTAGACACCTATTGCACAGACCTAAGACAAGAGGGGGACTGACATTGCCTAACCTATACTTTTACTATATGGCAGTACAGCTATCACGAATCGCACTGTGGCACTCGCCACTGAGGGTTAGAAAATGGGTTGACATAGAATCAATGATGCTGGGAGCAGACATACCACAACTTCTCATATGGGTACCCAAAGACAAGAGGCCGATAATTAGTAACATGCCCTGCAGTTCTAAACTCTATACGCATATGGGACTTATCCAATAAAAAAATATGGGCTAGCATCCAACCCTTCCCCACTGATGCCTTATCTCCGCAACAGAGCGTTCCCACCAGGGATGACAGCAAGGGACTTTAAGATGTTGGAAAGAATTGGCATACAACGCATCTGCCAGGCAATGCAGGGACCAGAGATAGTAACGTTTGACGCCTTACAACAACGAGGCCACCTCACACCAGCTGACTTTTTTTTTTTTTTAAATATCTCCAAATCCAAGACTTTGTTAAACTTCCACACATCCGAGCACAAGCCCAAAATCCCCTAACATTCTATGAGTGCATATGCTTACATGAAAACATACCAAAAGGTCTGATATCGCAGCTGTACGCCCACCTCTGCTCAGAAACCAATTAATGGGGAAGCCTAACATACACAGACCGTTGGGAAAGGGACCTGGGGGAGGAACTAGAGGGTATAGAGTGGCAGGAGATCTGGGAGGCTAACCACACATCCTCTGTATGTGTTACATTACAGGAGCAAGCAGTTAAAACAATGCTACGATGGTATACAACCCATGTAAAATTGTACCAAATGAAAAGACCTCAACGGACTTATGTTGGAGAGGGTGATGAATGAAGGGGATGTATATCCATATGTGGTGGGAGTGCCCTCAGCTTAACCGTTTCTGGCAGCAGATAAGAGACCTGATAGTCCAAGTTATGTCGAGGGCCCCCATCCCAATGGACCCATGGCTATATCTGCTCAGCCGAACTATTGATGGGTGGACCAGACACGAACAGAAACTTATACATAAAATTACCCTTGCTGCTAGGAGAGCAGTGGTCTCTGACTGGCTCAAACCAAGCTCCCCACCCATGGTGGGGGTCATAAATAGAATTAGGGAGGTACATTTAATGGACGACCTTACAGCCAGGGTTATGGGTACTCAAAAGACCTTCCAGAAGATATGGGCACCCTGGGAGGACAGCCCCCTGGGTCGATAGTTTCCAGTCAGCTTATGTAAATAAAATAGAGGCAACATCAGGACTCAACAAGTGTACGGAGGGATCCGGCAGAGATTACTGGACCGCACAAAACATCAGAACACACCATGTCGGGTGGTGGTTCTTGTTAACTATGCTGGGATCAGAATCTCAGCAACGGACTAAGCTAGGATAGAGTGAAGGGGCCCCTGGACCCCCACCCTACACCCATCCCATTTCCCACCTGTACCCCAATCTTCTACTACTTTTCTCTTTCCTTTCTCTTACTCTCCTTTTTCCTTAACCAAGGAGCACATATCCCCAATAATCTACAGGGGATAACAATAGGGCGTTCTAAGTTTTATGGTTGATAGAGTTGTTTCTTTTCCCATCTGTTTAATATTGAAAAAAGGTTGACGGGGCATAACCAATTACCACAAACAATGCAGAGGGGACAAATATACTAGATGGAGGGCACAGAGAGACGTACCAACGATCACCAGCTAATGTATATACATGTCATAATATTGCGATACCCATGTTAACCACCTATGTATAAGCAGCAAAGCATTGTACCGGAAAGTATACCAGCAATTTTGATGTGCCTGTTGACAACATAAATAAAGAATTTTTTTAAAAAAAGAATCCAGTGATTGGCCCCATAACCTTTGGGCCTCCCACCCATGAATGGTGTCCAATGTGTTGGTCCTACATTTAAATAGCATTTACTTACCTTCCAGTGTTTTGCTTGAAGCTTTTGTCTTTGGCCCAATGAAACAGGTCAGAAAAAAACTAATGTATACAGTAACAAAAGAAAAAAATGCAAACAAACAACTTGAGTGCAAACCCTCCCCCCCCCCTCAAAAAAAATGATTTAAGAAAAAAATATACACTGCTCAAAAAAATAGGGAACACTTAAACAACAACACAATGTAACTCCAAGTCAATCACACTTCTGTGAAATCAAACTGTCCACTTAGGAAGCAACACTGAGTGACAATCAATTTCACATGCTGTTGTGCAAATGGGATAGACAACAGATGGAAATTATAGGCAATTAGCAAGACACCCCCAATAAAGGAGTGGTTCTGCAGGTGGTGACCACAGACCACTTCTCAGTTCCTATGCTTCCTGGCTGATGTTTCGGTCACTTTTGAATGCTGGCGGTGCTTTCACTCTAGTGGTAGCATGAGTGGCTCAGGTAGTGCAGCTCATCCAGGATGGCACATCAATGTGAGCTGTGGAAAGAAGGTTTGCTGTGTCTGTCAGCGTAGTGTCCAAAGCATGGAGGCGCTACCAGGAGACAGGCCAGTACATCAGGAGACGTGGAGGAGGCCATAGGAGGGCAACATCCCAGCAGTAGGACCGCTACCTCCGCCTTTGTGCAAGAAGGAACAGGAGAAGCACTGCCAGAGTCCTGCAAAATGACCTCCAGCAGGTCACAAATGTGCATGTGTCTGCTCAAACGGTCAGAAACAGACTCCATGAGGGTGGTATGAGGGCCCGACGTCCACAGGTGGGAGTTGTGCTTACAGCCCAACACCGTGCAGGACATTTGGCAGTTGCCAGAGAACACCAAGATTGGCAAATCCGCCACTGGCGCCCTGTGCTCTTCACAGATGAAAGCAGGTTCACACTGAGCACATGTGACAGACGTGACAGAGTCTGGAGACGCCGTGGAGAACGTTCTGCTGCATGACCGGTTTGGCAGTGGGTCGGTAATGGTGTGGGGTGGCATTTCTTTGGGGGGGCCGCACAGCCCTCCATGTGCACGTCAGAGGTAATCTGACTGCAATTAGGTACCGAGATGAGATCCTCAGACCCCTTGTGAGACCATATGCTGGTGCAGTTGGCCCTGGGTTCCTCCTAATGCAAGACAATGCTAGACCTCATGTGGCTGGAGTGTGTCAGCAGTTCCTGCAAGACGAAGGCATTGATGCTATGGACTGGCCCGCCCGTTCCCCAGACCTGAATCCAATTGAGCACATCTGGGACATCATGTCTCGCTCCATCCACCAGCGTCTCGCTCCACCACAGACTGTCCAGAAGTTGGCAGATGCTTTAGTCCAGGTCTGGGAGGAGATCCCTCAGGAGACCATCCACCACCTTATCAGGAGCATGCACAGGTGTTGTAGGGAGGTCATACAGGCACGTGGAGGCCACACACACTACTGAGCCTCATTTTGACTTGTTTAAAGGACATTACATGAACGTTGGATCAGCCTGTAGTGTGTTTTTCCACTTTAATTTTGAGTGTGACTCCAAATCCAGAACTCCATGGTTTGAAAAATTTTATTTCCATTTTTTTTTTTTTTTGTGTGATTTTGTTGTCAGCACATTCAACTATGTGAAGAACAAAGTATTTCAGAAAAATATTTAATTCATTCAGATCTAGGATGTGTCATTTTTGTGCTCCCTTTATTTGTTTGAGCAGTGTATATACATTTTGGTCCAATAATTAAACAAACTGGTGTGTCCTTGTGCTTTAGAAACTTGAATTGTGGGTTTTCAAAGCCAAGAGTAATAGTTATGGATGTTGATAAAGTTTCAGGACACGGCGTGAAATGCGTCCAGAGTTTCTGTAAGTTTTTTGGGGTTTTTTCCTTCATGTTTTTTGTGTCTCCTCCCCCTTTCTGCCTGTCACTTTATGAGGTCTGCACATTTTTATGACGTTAACCATTTTTATGCAATAAAGTATGTACTTTCCGTGATCTACCTTGTGAATTATTCTGAGATCCAGTATGAACTGTTTAGCTGGTTTTGGTAATTTCTACATTTGGGATTAATCCAGCACCAATATTAGGATCTGGGATACAGTTAATCATGAAAGTGTCCACATTGTCTTACATATTTAATTCCCCTGTGGAATCGAGTTGCAGCAACAAGTAACTGAAGAAAGGTTTTTCCTGGAATTAAGCTGGTTTCATTACTCAAGAGTAATGGCTACCTGTTTGGGATAGGGAATATATTTTAGCCAGATGTTTGGGAACCCTCTGCCATTTTTGCTCTTAAGGCAAGGTGACTGGGCATACTTTGTTTCTCTATTGAGATGGGACCTTGGAGACCCCATAGTACAAAATGTATATTTTCCTTACATTCCACAGACCACATGTTGCAGGAAAGGACAACATCCTTGTCAACAATGGGAAACGATGAGTGTGGAACAGAAAAGTGGTGAATAAGGCATGGGTGTGTGCGTACATGCATATCAGTGATGTAATTCATATTACTAGTGACATGCCTGGCTATAAAATGAGTCAGGATGACTAGCTGCCCTGTTAGGGGTTAACCTGGACTGGAGCCCTCAGCAGGGTTCTGAAAAGCCTGGACTTGAATTTTGCACCTTTGAAATTATATTACTAATACAGAAGTAGGAACTTCTGGATTAGTGATATCAGAAGAGGCAGAACTGGTGACCTTGGGTAAAAGTTAAACTATTCAAAAATAGCCTTATACCAGGACTGAGGAACTCCTGGCACTGGCATTGGTTATGGTGTCTAGACAATACCTTTATTTAATAAAGCCCATAGCAAATTAGCTAGTTATATGTTATAAACAGGGCATGCACTCTGGTAATATGATAGTCAATCACTAGTTTATGTTTGTAACTGTTGTACTTAATAAGTCAAGTACATTAAAGGACCACTATAGGCACCCAGACCACTTAAGCACAATGAAGTGGTCTGGGTGCTAGGTCCATCTAGGGTTAACCCTGCAGCTGTAAACATAGCAGTTTCAGACAAAACTGCTATGTTTACATTGGGGCTAATCCAGCCTCTAGTGGCTGTCTCACGGATTTTCACAGTGAGAAGACGCCAGCGTCCATAGGCAAACATTGAGAAATGCTTTCCTATGGACTGACTGAATGCGCGCGCGGCACTTGCCGCGCATGCGCATTCAGCGGATGACGTCGAAGAGGGAGGAGAGTCCCCAGCGCCGAGGGAGCACAACGCTGGAGCAAGGTAAGAGTTTAACCCCTTCCTTCCCCTTCAGCCCGGCAGGAGTGGGACCCTGAGGGTGGGGGGGACCCAAAGACCCTATAGAGCCAGGAAAACAAGTTTGTTTTCCTGACACTATAGTGGTCCTTTAACCCCTTAAGGACACATGACATGTGTGACATGTCATGATTCCCTTTTATTCCAGAAGTTTGGTCCTTAAGGGGTTAAGGATTAATGTACCATGACTGATTTAGAACAGAGCATATGCTTACCAAGATTTGCTAAATGCAGCATTCCAAGTTTACATTTGAGTGCGTGTGTTGTGTCATCACTTGGATGGCCTGTATCATTTTTCTCTTGACCTTCCTTAATATTGGTGAGTCCATCTATCAAACAAGTCACAGCTGTACAGCCACTCCATCTTGAAAAAGAATTTTCTTTCCTCCCAAGTTTTAAAATCCTATCCATTCTCCAAAAGGCTTTTGCATATGACGCATGAATCAATTCAAACTTAATTCCTTGTGTCATTTTACTTTGTACTGCAGATGAAAAATTATCCTCTGTTTCCTTGTATCTATCTTTAAAAACCATATCAAAAGAGTCGATAAAATTGTTTTCTTCCTCTGTAAGTATGTACGATGGATCCACATCTTTAACGTGAGACAAAAATAAAACCGGTAGTTCCAATGACACATTAAGTGCTGCAGACGTGCCATTATATCCATCAAATAATCCAAGAAACGTGGTGTTTTCTCTCTTTCCATAATTATCAAGAACAGCAAATACATCTTCCATGTCTGCTTGCCAAGTTATGTTTTTATCAGCACATGTTACTATGGATCGGATTAAGTAATTGTTTGTTTCTATTGTATTAATGAGAATATTTTCAAAATCTGCACATTTTGCTGTTCTGGTATATTTCACGGGTGAGAATAAAAATCTTTGAATGATTTCATGACAATGATTTATCATCTGCCTTTCTCTCAGCATACAAGGTGAAGATTTATTCTTCTGTGATATTACTTGTAGTTTTTTGGAGTTTAAACTTTCAATGTTTGCTGGTTTGTCTGCTACCTTGTAGCCCATCAAATTAAACGCTTTATGTAACTGTTTATGATTTAAGAATACATTCTGATGTATGTGTTGATGGCATATTGAGCATGGTATCCAAATCTCATTAATGTCAGGTCTGTTGAGCTTTTTATTCTCATCTTTTTGGACGTTAAGATTTGTAACTTCTGCAATATTGGGCAAGAGTGATTCCTTCCTCATCTTAGAGCTGAAAAAGAAACGGTCTGTTTATTAATCTGACCAGTGTAAAGCTAAAGTTAAAATAAATATCAAGCTATTAACATTGTTGGAATTAATTTAAATTTAAATTGTATTTCAGCTATGTTGTATAATTTTCTTTACTGTATTATAAACCATACATTGTTTAGCTTAGTGCATTCATTGACTTATGTTGTCTGCAAAACTTAGTTTCACAATAGGCACATTGACTAAAGTTTGAAATCATAACACTCACAACTTTTATTTATGAAATGAATAGAATAGTTTAACAGACATACTTAGCAGTAAGGGAGTATATTTATTATGCATGATGTCCAGTAGATAAAAGTAAAAATATGTAATCGTAAATTTCTTAATAAATATATACTAAATAACTAATCTGAGCCTATTTTGTTTTCCAATATTGCATTCTGCTCTTATTCTAGTCATTGGAACCTGAACGTAACTCATAAACTACTGAACAGCAGTAATTAACCAAACACCGGATTATGTCAGAACGGACAAAATCCTGTAAAAATTGCAAAATTCTATAGCTCCATTCAAGATAAGATATCAATAGATCAATCAGTACATTGATAGAAGTTGTGAGAAGTTTGGGCAAAAGCTTATTTAATGTCTTTGTGTGAATTCAATTGCTGCCATAAGCATGCATAAAGGGTGTGCCAGGTGTGAACTATCCCACCCTAATGCAGGAATGACAGGCACTTGAGACATTTAAACCCTGCAGAACCACAGTGTTTTCATGTGCAGGGTGAAAATGAGGGGCATGGCACCTCAACCACTTCATTGAGATGAAGTTGTCTGGATGGCTATAGAGTCCCTTAAATTCCTCTTAAATGCAGGCTTCTCCAAACTCTGGCCCTCCAAATGTTGCTGAACTATAACTCCCATGATTATTTGAATGAAATAGAAAGCCAGAGAATCATGGGAGTTGTTGTTCAGCAACATCTGGAGGGCCATAGTTTGGAGAACCCTGCTTTAATGTATATAGTGATGCAAGAGAATAATATACTAAGTCAAGTAAGATCATTTCTCTTCTCTTCTTCATTTGTTGCCATGGGATGGGAAGGTAATATATTCCAATAAATAATATATTTTATTATATATAATTATATATATATGATAAGTGGTATCCAGGTGCTTTCATCAGGTTTTCCTCACTGGTGTCCCATTTTTTTCGAAACGTGAGAAAAAAATAGAAGCGCTTCTTGCCATGTTACTTCCCAGATATAGAGCTGCAGAATATGTCTGTGATTTATAAATGCCAGTAAAAACGTAAATAAAATTCCTCAATGCTGTGCATAGAAGGAGAGTTAGAAGAAGATTATTGAGTTATGGATGTCTATTTGCTTAACTATTGAGAATTTTATGTCTGCTTTTAGAAAACATGGCTCAATTTCTGTCAGTTACATATTCATTAAAAATTGATTGATAGAAGCAGAAAAAATACTGTTTATCTTCAACGTGACAATCATAACTGATAAAATGTGCACTCTCACTAGTTGCATTATTATTATTATTATTATCTATGGATAATGAGATTGTTTATGGTCCTATAAGCATTAAATGACTATTGTGGTATGCAGTTCTGAAAAGTCAATACACAGTTTGTGTAAAATAAAATGTGTTATCACCTCTAGCTAGGAAATGGGGAACCCTAATAAACCTAGTCATCCGTTATTGATCCATATTTATTTATTTACGTTTCATATGTACTTAGTTAATTTGTTCTTTAGTAGGGGCACAGTATATAAAACCAGTAATTATATAAGGTAATTACTAAAAGACTAAACAAAAATTTAGGAATTAGGCAGAATCTGGAAAAATTGGGTTAGGAGACCTGACAATATGATATGAGATTATATTGTTGTTGTTTTTTGATACTTTGAAAAGATATTAAGAGGCCTGCAGCTGGGAATACGTCACATGGTTTATCAATATTTGGATCAACATATTACTCTATTATAGTGCGGAGATGGCTCAATAACAAAGTTATTTACTTAACCTTGAATTCCAGCAAAAAAATCTGAAAGCCAAAAATTCAGTAAAAGTATCTGGAAAATCATTTATAGTCACAGCTTGTCTATACTAATACCTAAAAGTTGCCATTCATATTGGATTTTGCTGCAGTTAGGAGTTTAGTGATTAAACCCCTTTATCTCTCAATTTTATTTTGTTTTTAAGTTTGTTTATATAATGGCTGATTTGTTTACAGTTTTAAAAAAATTTTTTTAGCATACACTTAATTGTTATAATTGCTAGTACATTAAATAACACACAACAGATGACATGGCATAACAGGATGGGTGTAATAGAAAAAACCGGTGTAATTGTTGTACCTTGTGTACATTTGTTACCGCAGTTACTGTTTCCTTAGACACAGAACAGAAAGAGCACAGGTTAGGTTCAGCAAAAAGCATGCAAACCACATGATGTATAAAACTTATAACAAGTCTGTTTAAAATGGAATTAAAGCTAGGTCCGACTTTAATGGTGTGCGACCTGTGGAGGGGTCTTTGCAACACTGTTCTTGTCCAACTTTATCACTTCCTGCCACCTATTCAGATACTTGCAGCATGGCCAAGCAGCACTCCTTCTTAATCTTAAGAATGAAACCCCCATATATAGCGGCTGCATAGTGGAATAAAGATGGAGTCATGGCCCCACCCCATTCACTGACTACAATGTCACTATGGATGTGCATGGGCAAAAAAATCGTCTTGGTTCGGCACTTCCGAAATTCAGGACTTCGAGAATTCGGCGGTTCGGTTCAACACTATGGAAATTCCTGAATTCGGCACTTTGGCAATTCCCTAAGCCTAACCTTAAACCTAACCCTACTCCTAACCCTAACCTAACCCCCAACCCTATCCCTATCCCCTTAATTCTCCCTCTCCTGTTTTGCCATTTTTCAGAAATCCAAAGCACTTCAGCACTTCCGAAATTCGGTCAAATTTAAATTCGGACCGAAATGAATTGCACATGTCTAAATTTCACTGTAGCATTTGGTTTGGGCTGAGAATGACGGATTAGCACTACACTCCAAGCTACTCCAAGCTTCAAAATCACTACAGTCTGCTGTATCATCTATGATTCCAGGACTCCCCTGACCTTGTTTCTGGTAATTGAGCAAACCATATTGCGACAGTTTGCTCACTTACGTAGGTCTTTGCCACGCGCCGATGGTCCTAGATGGCCTATGAGGTGCATCCGGCTTCCAATGCCGATTATTGCTGGTCATTCATTAGCTAAGAGCATCAACTGACCAGTCTCAGCATGACGGACAGTCCGTGCAAAGAGATATGTATTAAATTTACATTATGCAACTCTTGTTTCAGGCTGGCTAATGACTCCTAAATGACGCAGCTGACAGTGGAGTTACAGCCCTGGCAGCAAAGTGATTAAACTATGCTTAACCACTTTATATTGAAACTATGCACGTACAGTCTCCAGGCACCATGATCACTTCAAATCAATGATGTGGTCATGGTGCTTGGAGTAACCCTTTAACTGGAGGGGATAGAGAAAACTGGAGGGGGGCGAGATAACTGGAAAATAGAAAGGAAGACAGAGCTGGGGTTTATGGACTTTTGGTCTGGGGAGAGATAACTGGAGGGGAGAGAGTGAGAAATTGGTGGGAGGACCATGGAGGAATAACTTGGGGGCTTGGGAGAGATAACTGTGGGGAGCATTTCATATGTTTATCAGGTTCAAAAATGGTCTGGTATGTGGCCACAACTTCACTCGTGTTTCTAGAAATTTGGCTAGATCATAGCATTTCTTATTTAATGTATTTAAATAGTATTTAGATACAGCACCAGATGGTGAACTATGTCCTCTTATAATTTATTGTAATCAAATGCAGGATTGGTCCTGGCCCTTACTAGTGAGCAAGACCATCAAAATAGAATCTCTTTTGCTGCCTCTTCAAGTGAAATGTTGCTGTAACATTTCCTAATCTCATACCTCTCAGCAGGACTGCTGCCAGAATTTTTGGGGCCCCTGACCCAGCCCAAGGTCTGGGCCTGCCCCCGAGTCCACCCATATGACCCATCCCAGATCCACCCTCAGGACCCATCCTTAGTCTACCACAAGGATGAAGTGTATGTGTACTGAATTTGGTGTGTGTATACTAGCTGTTGAATGTGTGTAGTGGATGCAAAGTGTATGAGTTAAGTTGCTGCGGTGTTTATAGTGGATGCAGATTGTATGTTTGTGTAGTGGACAGAGTGTGTGTATAGTGGATGTATTGTGTGTATAGTGAATGCAGAATGTGTGTTTGTGTAGTGGATGTAGCTTGTGCATAGTGAAAGCAGAATGTGTGTTGGTATAGTGGATATAGTGTTTGTGTGTATAGTGAATGCAGAGTTTGTAATAAAGGTAGAGTGTGTGTTTGAGTAGTGGCATTAGTGTGTACATAGTGACTGCAGATTGTGTGTGTAGTGGATGTAGTGTGTGTGTATAGTGAATGCAGAGTGTGTATTTGTGTAGTGAATGCTGTGTGTGTGTGTTTGTGCGGTGGATGATGTGTGTGTAAAGTGGATGCTGTGTGTGTGTTAGTGTAATGGGTGATGTGTGTTTGTGTAGTGAATGTTGTATGTGTGTAGTGGATGATGTGTGTGTAATGGATGATGTGTGTGTAATGGATGATGTGTGTGTTTATGTGGTGATACAGTTTGTGTGTTTGTGTAGTGGATGCAGTTTGTGTGTTTATACGGCGGATGCTTTGTGTGTTTATATGGCGGATGCTTTGTGTGTGTGTAGTGGATGATGTGTGTATGTGTATAGTGGAAGATGTGCGTGTGTGTTGTGGATGATGTGTGTGTGTGTAGTGGATGATGTGTGTGTGTTTGTGTAGTGGATGCATTTTGTCTGTTTGCTGGTGTGTGTGTGGTGGATGCAGTTTGTGTGTTTGTGTAGTGCAAGCATGTCAAACTCGCGGGCCGCGGGCCACATGCAGCCCACAATGGACAGATTTGCTT